TTGTAGCTACCTATCAGTGAAAGAATTTTGGCAATCCGACCAGCGGCTCCAAAGATTACCTCCTACATACAAACTTACAAATTTTACCTCTTTATAATATTAGTGTAGATAAACATTTTAAATTCAATATCTATAAGTAAATTTTGAATTGCTCAAAATCAACAGTACTCGATGCAAGTTATACGAAACTGTGACGTCACTTTATTTTGCGAACAATAGTATTTTTTATGTCATAGAACGGCAAACGAGTAGACTGTAGGCCTACCATGAAGAGTTAAAGCGTTAATCTTTCGGGCGAAAAAGAGGGATGGAGCTATACACCTTTTATAGTTCCATTCCTCTTTCTCGCCCTTAACACATCATGGTAGGCCCTCTGATTATACCTGATGGTAAGTAATCAGCGCCGCGCTACAGGCCTTTTGGGGATTAGGGTTTCAAGGATTCAAGGGTTATGAAGACGGCAAGAGAGATGAAGAGGAATTTCAAATTGAATTCTTAAAAATTTGCTAATAGCTATTAATTACGTTACCGCCCCGGCATTATTAGTGACTGAATACATTTAAAAAGCTAGTTCTTACAAAAAGTTAAATTATTAATTTTGCGGCATTATAAACATACTGTGGTACAAGTGCATAAAGCTTAAATAAAACAAAGAAAAATATTCAGATATTCAAGAATTTTCATAACAAAAAATCACTTATCCTCGATCTGCCAAAACTTTCTTCATCCTCCGTGCTCCATTTTCAAACTAGGTTTCCGAAGCCCATCCATAAATTAATGAGGAACTTTTTGCTTGAATAGCGAGCGCCCTTTTCATTTTCCTCAACTAGCACCGAGTCGCCTATGACATCTATTGTTACCGACGGCAATTTCTTTTAGTATAATTGAACTAGTTTGAAATTCTCGGCCCCAATTACTGTGACCTGTAGAGGTATTGATTTTTCTTTTAATTTGAACTGTGCATTAACCTTACAAGGTGGCTTGTGGACTCAAAATTTCCGTAGCGTTTAAGAAAAGTTTTCTGATAATTGCAATAATTATAACAAAACATTTTAAATGCAACTTAACTCATCATTGTATTACTGCTGTTTTATACATTTTCAAACAGAAAGATATAAAAAAGCCAATAATGAAGAAGGCACGGTGGTCGTTTTGACCCTGTCGTTGAACTTTGACCCTAAGTCCTTCCCTAATAGAACTCCAATTAGTTCAGCCGCTACTAGCTACTGCTGCTCTGCTCCGCTGCTCGTCTCCCAGTGTACGTGTAGCATGATGTAGCATGATGTTTTTTAATACTTACAATAATTGGCAATCTAGCAGACAAAGATTAGCTAAATTCGGACCAGTAGTTCTCGAGATTATCGCATTTAAAATAATTCCCGAGTTTAAATAATGCTACTTTAAATGAATAATGCGAAAAAACGCAAATAAAATAACCACCAAGCAAAGCAATTCGTAATAAATAAAATTTTCAATACAACTGAAATGTCGGTTAAAACAAATTTCTTACTACGGGGAATAACAGACGTCACGAATCAAAATGATCATATTAGAATATCGGCCTATCGGGATCTGCAATAAAATACCTAAATATTTGCCCGTTATCTTGCAACTGTGTAACGAAATAAACAAGTTACAAGTATCATGACGACATATTTATTGGTAACAACATTATGACGTGCACGACATACGAGAGAATAATATGAAACTACACGTGTACGCCTCTGTGCGTGTTCCTCAGCTCAATCGTAGTACAACCACTGAAAACAAACACATTATCGCGATGTTGATTAAATTGATCAACAAACGTCATCATTTCCATTATCACAATCACAATGATTATTGTTTTTCTCTCATTACCTACGTGACAATCAGTATTATCTGTCTTAAAAAAACTGTGAATATTATTTTCACTAGGTCGTATTGTCAACAAAATTTTGATTGTTTCAGTATGGTATGAAAAAAATACTTATTACGTAAGGCAATTATTGTTAATGTGTAAAAATAATGCGTATAAACTTCATCGAAATTTACTGTTTTTTAGATGTAGGTAGCACTGAGAGAAACAAGATTGTACTTAATGCTTAGGTGAATTATGACGAAAAATGTTTATGATTGAAGGTCGCATTTAAAAGAACAACATAATCATATTGCTTTTCACATTTGTACAATATGTAAATATAGGTATTAAGCACGTACATACATATCATTATATATTATAAAAAAGTTCTCATATTATCAAGCACAAACAATATGATAAAATAGGTTCCTTATATAAAGTTCTGTTTACCAGCTGTGCCGTCAATAACATTCATTCTTTGACCTAAATAGATTCATTGATGAATCTAGATTCAGTACAAGTGCTCGAGTCTAAAAAATGCATGCAATAACCTCGGTTAAGCCGTTTGGGGATAGCCGAATTAGTTGCTAATTAGCTGTATTAGAACTCAATGGGAAGTAGGAAATGACATGGAATGCATATTATAGTAGGTTGAGTTGAGACCAAGTTGATTCCAAGGCTATCTCGTCAGTCTGCTCGTCGTCTAGATAAATACATTGTTGCAGATATGAATATTCATTATTGTAACTATTGCGTACGTTTTATAGTGAATGCTGACTGGGCTATGAATGCACGTAATCTGTGACGGAAGCGCATCATTCATAAAAAAGTTGTGCTATCTCACGATTTAAATTAGTGCTGTTTCGAATTTTGTTTTCAAGACTAACTTTTTTATTTTTTTATTTTTTTTACAATGAAAACGCTTAACTGACGGACGTGACAGATCACAGTTCTTTTCTTTTCGATAGTCAATCAATAATACAATTTTCGGCGTTTCAAAAAATAATCGAGTTAAATTAAAGAACCACTCAAATTTTCAATAAATTTTAGTATGCTTGTCATTCAGATTTTTCTGCAACCACCTTCATTATTTAATAAATAATTCATTTAATAGCCTACAGTTTATTATCAGAAGTGAAAGAGTCATGTTATGTTAACAATAATATTGCACAACTCCGAAGAGGTAAATTCTCCTTACTGTGACTTTTTAGAAAATAAGATTGTGAAACACGTCGACGGTGTGACATTGTCAACACATGTCATGGGTTCAATGGTGAATTCTGATGAAGTAGAGGTTTCGAACCGTGAATTTACATAGTAACATTTTAATAAATATTTCCAAGTTAAAAAATATGAGAAAGTATCGACTGATAAGTTGCAGTCACTCGAAATACAAAATGACGTTAAGGTATGGTAATTCCAAATGGAATTAGGTACACTACATACATTTGTATGTGTTTGATAGTCCTGTGTGAGGCCAGATCACTATCACAAATGACAGGGGCAACCAGCGAACCGCATCGGAGTCTGCACCAACTGTTTTATTATAACGAGCCTGAAAACACCACCATTGAGAACAGCATGAATTCGCATTCACAATTAATTCATATTGTTAATAAAATGACGACTATTCATCACAATATAAATTGTACTTTAATATATTGTTAGCGGCATAAAGTCGTAAAATTTTATTCTTTTGTTGTTACGAATGCTGATAGAAGCACCATGCTATAGGTATTACTAATAGGGCATTGTTTAACTATAATTTACAATGGAAATGGAACCAGTATTAACATGGAGAACAAATTAGCAGAAAGTATAGCCGTCAATCAGTCAATGTGGGTAACGGCCCAAGTATTAGGGTCTAGGAGAATTCCTGTGCAAACCCTCACGACCTTGCGTACTAATTAGTGATTATTCTGCGAACAGTTGGTGCGCCCACTCGCTGCTCCAGCCAATCGACGCAGGTGGCTCACAATTTGTTGTGCATTGACCTCGCTCCTAGCACTCATCGTAGATATCTACATCAATTAATGTTAGACTGTTAATCTCGTCGTAATTAATGTAGCCACGAGTAATGCATGAGTTGACAACAATCCATCCATTGACTAGCATCGCCTTAGTACTTACCTACGGCAACATTATGCACGTGTTTACGTCTGGCTCGCTAATGCACTTATCGAGTAGATGTTACTTTCATTTCGTTATCTGCTTAACTGATTATTATGAGCAGTTATGAGGAAGACATTTGATCTGATTTAAACGTTTCTGCATTGAAAGGATCGTTGTTGAGTACATCGAAGTGTTCCCCTCTGTCGTTATCGCAACATCGGACCACATAACGTATTCTTAATTAATGCCTTTATTGATCGCGTGCAAAACATAGCTAGCGCCGCGGTCTCACGTGACCAACCGCTGCATGCTACACTATTAATACTACAGCTTTTAAAGCAAATATCAATTTAAAGCCTACAAAACTTTATTGTGGACAATTGGCTACTTTTCTATTCTGGTCATCCAATAAGCAAAGACAGACACATAGTGTAATGTATAATAACGAGTAATAACAAAATTGTAATATACCAATAACAAATCAAAACAAATTGAAAAGCTTTTGAAGTAACGTACCTATATTTCAGTCGATTAACGTTCCTCTTAGAAGTAACGATGTCAAGGTGTCTCCCCCTAGCGGCGAAGGCGAGCCACGTCAATACCTATTAAATATATAATAACGAACGGTAGGAATAGAGACGAGGTGCCTATTTCATAAAATCGATTGTCCACCACTCACGCAGTTCCATTGAGCGGCCACAATTAGAATTTATGTTACGACCTATGTAGACGCGTCGTTGTCAACCCACTGTAAAAACTGTTAGACAAATGCTATTGTTTTGTTAATTCATTTTCGGATTCATTCTCTCTTAGGCGATGTCTGTGTGTGAGACGCCAGGTGATTTGTTTGTAGTAACTTCAATGTTCAGTGGGTTTAGTAACAAATTCTTTTTCCGCATTCTTTCTCCACGCGTCGTTCTCTTCAATATGAAGAACTGTAATTCTCTTGAGATAACATGCTTTAAATGATTTCGGGTTTATGAATTTTCATCATGTGGTTTAAAATTTCGTTAGATATTATTTAAAATTTGAAATGTTTTTTCCGTAGCCATGCAGAAGTCATGCAAGCCAGCGATGCTGGGTCGCATGTGGCAAGCGAGCCGGCGCGCGCTGAACCTCGAGCATGCGCCCGCGCACCAGTTCGCCTGCAGCCAATGGCAGTCTAGTCCACACCCCTCCACTACATACTTAATATATAGGTAAGTAAGTTAACAAATTGCAGATTTGCTTAAATTATTTTACGTTTATGGACTAAGTTTTATAAAATAGTGCCATCTGTTGGCTTCGATAAGAACTGCATAGTACAGAAATGTAAATAAAATAACATCAAATGTACAATATTTTATTAGATGTAACAAACTGTTTTTATACACAGAAATTAGTTAGCCTGGTAAATAAAATACTTTTTATGAAGTTCGAATTCCCTACGATTAACCACTGTTCTTACGTGTCCGGACAAATAAACATATTTATTAGTACGGAATTAAATCAATGGCGCATGAGTAGATATATAAACAATTTAATAAAATGAGGTTATTAACAAGTCATTCACAGAAGTGAATGAGCGTGTCTTTGATCATTTGATTTGATATAAAACCTTGAGATGAAGCCTTTGTCTTTGAATATGAAATAAAATGTGTATCAATAAGTATAATTATTTGCATATTTACTAGTACTCATTAATATTATTTACTGATTAAACATTGGCAATATGGAGATTTATTTTTTCCGTCCTGGAAGACGTAAGACTATTTTATGTGTAGAATAGGCCTATACTTGCCTGTTAAGTAGTGAGCTATCATAACCGGTGTTTATGTTGTGTAGCCGTTTGTCTGTGCCTTATACATGGACTTTATAAAACAGCACATAATACACATAGTCACTTAACCACTTCATAATTAAATACAAGTGTGGGAGAACCAAGCTTTGGCACGAATGGGTCGGCTCGACCGGAGTGATACCACGGCCTCACAAAAAGCCGGCGTAAAATAACCACAGCGTTATGATTCGCCGTGTGAGTGAGGTATAATCCCTCCCCGATCTTAAATATCCTAAATTTCAAATATCTTCCAAATCCTTAAATATCAGAAACCCTTATCCCCAAAAGGCCGGCAACGCAATCGTAAATCCTTTGGTGTTGATGGTTATGTCCATGGGCGGTGCCAATTGCTTACCATCAGCATCAGGTAACCCGTCTCCTCGTTTGCCGACCTATCTCATAAAAAAAACTGAAATACGCTATCCAGCCAGGGTCGTGGGTACATCGCAATAATGTACAAGGAACAGAATTTTTAGAACGAGGAAATGGGTGGTTTTTAGAAAATAACAGTCTGATACTCGTCGTAGTGGCCCGGAGGTTAAGGAGCCCGCTTCTCATACATGAGGGTGTGGGTTCGAAACATGGCAAGTACCAATGTGAGTTTTTCCGAGTTATATGTACTTTCTATGATTATTTAGACGGCACTGACATATGGTGAAGTTAAACATCATGAGGAAACCTCTTATAATTTCCAATTATAAGTTGGAAATCGCCAACCCGCTTTGAGCAAGCGTGGTTATTAATGCTCTTACCTTCTCCGTTTGATCAGCAGTGGGCACTTATCATCTTGTAGGTATCACTCGATGGTAAGCAAATAGCGCCGCCTATGGACCCTCGTCGTAGTCACTAGTGCGTTGCCGACCTTTCGTGGGTATTAGGGGTTAACGAGAAAGGTGGGAAGGATTGAAAGATTTCCTTCCCTCAAAAAAAAAGTATATTTCAATTTATAAATGTATGTTTTTTTCTAAACAGATGGCTACTATTCATCTCGGTGATATCGACGGGTATTGCGAGTTTCGCCTGCCAGCGTCTGCCGCGGCGATACGAGGGACCCATAAAGGAGCTGAACTACTTGAAGTGGTTCATCTACTTCACCAACTGGGGGTACCTACTCATCGCATTGCAGTCAGCTCTCGCCCTCGCCGTTATCATCAGTTATAGGTCACAGAAATGCAATTCTAGTAAGTTTCTTGTTTTCTAAAGTAACCATTGAAAAATCTCAAAACTGTAACATTTTTTCTTAATAAGATAATTATATATTTGATTTGATATAGCCTATAGCACTAAGGAACATTGTAGCTATCTATCAGTGAAAAAATTTTGGGAATCCGACCAGCGGTTCCAAAGATTACCCCCTACATACCTACAAACTTACAAATTTTACCTCTTTATAATATTAGTATAGATATTAAACTTAGCAATTATTTTATCTTAATTTTCTGATTATACATTTTCAAGTATTATTAAACATATCCAATCAAATTAGTATCAAATCAGTAGATATCTTTAGTAACTCCTCCATCTTAAACATGTTCCCAAAATCCAATTTACCACGTGTCTATTCTCTTTTTCAAATAGAAACGTAAAGCTTTTATTTCAACGCTATTATTTAACGTTTATTATTTGCATACAATCATGTAAGTGTTATGTATGAAACAAAAAATAAAAGTCCATTTTGCAATCCATTCAATTAGCTACATTGTAAGGCCAAGTTCAATGACACAGTCTAGACTTGGAGCTACCGAGCTGACGAGATAGCGTACGGGACAAGATGACGTAAATCTACATCAATCTCATATTTTTTTATATATGTATGTCATTGTATGTCTTCCATATACAAACACCAATGTTAGGAAATCAATCAAGAAAAACAAATGTTAATGTCGACCGTTAGCTTTCCTATTTTTGCGAATAGGTTTAATAATGCTGCATGCTGCTTATCTATCCGCATAAATAATAAAAGACCTACTGAAAACTGGGTACAATATTCTTTTCAATAGGTAATACAACATTAATAGGAATATTAGGACCGTTTTCGACAGTGGCGCCACGATAAGAACAAACACAGTAGTCTCTTTTTGAAATTATGTCAACATTTAATCTTAACCGACAATAATGTCAAATTACGTAAGTATTGGCATTTTTAATTGTCGTCACTCTTTTGCAAAGTGCGACAGGTAACTGAATAATAGTAGCACTTATTGAATTTGGTAAACAATCAGCTGTACCTACGTAAAACTTCCGTTGAATCTGCACTACATCTGTCACATGTGAAGATTGTGTCACTCGTTACCTTATCAACAACGAATTGACATCACGCTTGTTTTCCCACGTTCATGAGTTATTTAATTGCCACAAAATTGTAGAAAATTGTACGTGCTAACTACTATTGCCGATTCATTCACAATTCAGTTTCCTGAAATTACTGAAATAAAACTTCGTATACGTACGGAATGAGATTTCGTGCTACGAAACCATAAAGCTGTGCTGACACAATTACGGTCCAGCAACCTAGATTAAAACTAGTTTGGCGCTCATTGTCAAAGCTAACATAGAAAGTGATCGGCAAAATTCTTGACAGGTCGAGCTCTTCAATGTCAAGTGTGTTGCGTGGGTCCATTTATTACACAAAACGGTTTCCTTGGACGACGTAATTCCTCACGCGAATCAATTAATCTAAATCATTGAATCGCATGTCGTACACATAAACATCTTCTCTGGGGATCGATGGAACACGTGTTTTGTCTTTTTCGTGCCGTCAATAAAAACAGTTTGCGCTGACATGTCTAGACTGTTCATCAATTTAGATGAAAACTCTTAATAACGGCATTATTGGTTGGCTTTCGATGTTTGGTTTATTTGTTCGGATCGATACTGTCAAGGGCATTTATATTCAAATAAAGACATTTCGATAACATTTTGATGCATGCTATCGACAGAGGTCACGAACTCTTGATTGGTAACAATTTCGCGTCAATTAAGATCAGAGCGGAGCGGGTCCGCTGTCCATTGTGCTTCAAATTATCCTTATTGGTTCCTCATTCCATTGGAGCCAAGCTCAGAGCTCAGAGGGAGTGGGTATTATTCCGCGGCTATTGTTGAAAATTGGAGACGTTGTCGTTGTCCACTTGAGTGGCAAGTGGCGGACAATTGTGCGACATAAAAGGATTTAATATACAACGTTCACTTTCGTTAACACGTCCGGACTCTCGGCTGAGGGTATTTGAGATGTATTGACGGCAAATAGAGCAGACGTCATACATACATATTGTTTATTTATTATGATTGACAGGAACACACATTGACTTCAGCTGTCCCTTTTCAACTTCAGTGACTACTAACACAACGTTTTAATAAAGTGCTTTTAACATTTGCTACATACTGAATTGAATGAATTTTTAGTCAAATTATAATTTGATTAAACTATTTATGCTGTGCCCTAACGGGTCCATAGTGTTTCTAATATATTGTGTCAACTTTATAAAATATCACCTGTATAACATATGGAATGCAAATAAAGAATTGAATTGAATTGATAAGTTAAACACATGGAAAATTATTTATTACTTGTATACAGATTTAATTGCATAGTATAAAACAACCATTAATAAATATAGTCAATAAACCAGATAAATGCGAGTTAGAGTCATACACAAAGAGGTTTTAATCTTTTTTTTTGTAAATTGAATATAAAACTAAATATTGTAACACTTTTGCTAACTGATCTAAATGGCTTTAAAGTAAAAATCACGTATAAGTACTGAATTTTACACCTAGTCTTTTGCGGTTTACGAAATGCTGCCTAGTGACAGACACGCGTGGAAGGACAACAGTCAGTACAGATTAATAATCGAGGCTCGTTTCAATTTTCGCATACAACCAATGAGGAATTATGAGTACCTAAATACATGAGTACATCATCGTCAACCGTAAAACGTACATTACTGAACAAAGCCCTCTCCCTAAACAAAGGAGCTGTACTAAGGGAAGATGGTTATGATAGATCCCAATCTTGGCGGGTGACGTCATCGATATACGATATATAATTATGGAATGCTACTGCACATTCCTAGGTGTCCGATAGTATGCATACACTTCACATATTTATTGACTTTGAATGGCATACACTCCCATATAAATACTCAATACTCAATACTTTATTAGCATTCCATATACTATACAGGTGGTATCTTTATAAAATGACAATATATTAGAAACAATATGGATCCGGTAGGGCACAGCATAAAGAGGTGAGAGAGGCTTGCAGTATAAATTATCTTATTACTAGCTAGTCTAGTATAATTAGTATAATAATATGATTTTATTACGAATAATATTTTTATACTAGACTACACTACACATTAAAATCAAATAACAACCAACTCTGGAATTTATTTCCATTACCTGACCTTACGTTTTACGTTGCAGCATACGAAGAAGATGAGATCCCGATTCCTTTGGGGCGGCGCGTGCGCACTCCGCTATTGTGTCGCGCCTATTGGCTGTCACATAACATCGCCACTGACCTCGCCTTCGTCATCTCACTAGTCTACTGGGTTCTGGTCCATGACCCTAGTAAGTGATAATTCTTTTAAAATCTTAATATACCTATATTTAGTCTAGGTAAATTGAAAAAAAATAGTTCAAAATACAATAAAAGACATACTATACTAGACTTATCCCTATTATTCACTGGTCTTTCTGTACTACCTTGTATAAGAATGTAAGATTAAAATGAGCACTAAAACCAATATTAATTTTACAATTATTTGTTATTTACAAAGATAAGCGCCTTATAAAAACAGCATAGTAGCATAACACTACAGTGTATTAAATAATCACTTACTAGTAGGCGCTCATTTAAATAAATAACACGTATCGATTAGAAGCGTCCCAATTTGCCAGCCAGTATCATAAACCTATGTAGGTTGAATAATTCTGTAGAGGATTTGTTTCCACTACCAATTAGCTATAAAATTACAATAAATCTAACAAAATCTTCTTTGAATTGCAGAAATCCACGAGGTCAACGCCCTCAACGTACTTGTCCACGGCGGGAACTCGTTGGTGATGGTGATAGAGCTGATGGTGACGTCACATCCCGTGAGGGCTGCGCATGCGCTGTACAGTGCAGGGGCGGGCCTCGCGTACGGAGTGTTCAGTGCCTTCTACTGGGCTGTGGGTGGCACTGACAGGATCGGGCTACCAGCTATCTACCCAGCACTGGATTGGAATAAGCCTGGTAAGTTATTTATTGAGAAGATTGTAAAAGAACCTAAACTGTACAAGTAGGCCGGTACAAGTAGGTGGGTAGGGCCGGGGTTGCGGGGTAGGCGCAATGAGACACCGCGGCCTCGGCCTTGATCAGGAGAAGTGAAGAACAGTGGGGGGTTTTAGTAAGTAATAGTCTCTTCCTTCCGCCTCACCCTGGTCGGAAAAATTCATTTGATGATTCAGAGCCTGTATTATCTGCATTCGGCGTCACACATGGACACCCACAACACCAGAAGAGTTACACGTGCATTACCGGCCTTTTGGGAATTTACACACACAACGCTGTGGTTGTTTCACGTCAATTTTTGGGAGGACATGGTATCATTCCTGTCGAGCCTTCCCATTTGTGGACAGGCATGGCTCACTTAGACTAATAATAAAATAAAAACTACAACGTACCTTATTTATTTTTTTATATCTTACCAGGATCTGCGTTCGGGTTTGTGTCGCTGTGTGCGGTGGTGATGGTGTTTGCGCACGCGCTGGCGACGTGCATAGCCGCAGGGCGCATGCGCCTGGCACTCCGCCTGCGCGCGCGCCCCCACGCCGACCGTCTCGCACTCCCAACCCACTGATCACACGGAAAACTGCTCTAGCATCTCTCGTTACCTCTTGGGCCTCGCCTCGACTTCAAAAGAAGTTCCAAGAAAGTGAAACGGAAGCAGAAACAGCGATGGCGTCGATCAGTTATCTCAAATGCAGTTTACAGCCATTTACAATAACTTGGCTAAAAGAATCGCCCACGGTTTGCTTAAATTTTGTGTATATTTCTGCACTTACGCACGTGCACAATTCAATCACATGTTTCAGTTCAAGGATTGAGAACATAGTCTTAAAATTCGTAAAGAATGAAGGAAGTCATCGGGTCTTTTAAACAAGAGGTGACAAAAAACTTGAGGGGACTTTTTAAAACACAAGACGATGTTTGAGTAGTTTTCGTGTCAATTTACAAGTTTATAAATGCAAGTATTTGGTTGTCGTGTCCTTTTTGAGGGGACACATTTTAGGAAAGAGTAGAAAATCTTGTAGTTTTGTAAACGGCGAGCATAATATTAAACGTATCATCATTCCCAGAACAGCATTTAGGCTTAAGAGCATAATTCGTTGGCTGTAAAGAAAAAAAAAGTTATTTTTAAAAAAAGAATTCAGTGACAACATTCCGCATTTCAATTGTTTTAAAGCAACTATAGAATGGTAACTAATATTATTTTGTTATAATATGGAACTGACCAGCAAATATGGGGTATGTCTGTATAATTTCTATAGTTATGTGCAAACGAGACTAAATTACATCATTACAGTTATGGAACATGGAATTTGTACTTTAAAAATAGCTCATAATATGATTTGATTTCTCAGAACAAGCATATTCTGAAGGCAAGGGGTTCGATTTGCACCTATAATGTTTGGAAGTACACTCTAATAGGGCAGAAACTGGTTGTGCACTGTTGAAAAATGACTTAAATGTGTACGTCTGTATGTCGATAAATAATCGTAGATTTTGAAAAAATCATACATACACAACATAATTATTCGAAAAAATACAGCACAAACGCTTGACTAAAAGGTTGGTATCAGGTTGGTTTTAGGTGAATAAATAAGTATTTAGAAGTTGCAGCTGCCTTGATATTTAAAACGTTGAATAAATGGGATGAGTAAGCACTGGTATATTTTTGTAAAATAACTATCGTGAGAGATACTATATTTCTTGAAAATAATGACTTAATCACGTGAATTTACTGAAAAAAGGGAAGACGGCAATGTTGCCTTGACAAGCTTATAAGTTAGCGCGTCTAGAAGTTCTTCTAACTGAGAAAAACTATACTTATTTTAACACACCTGTGTAAGTTGTTATTTTCAATAAATGTCATTAGGCTTTGATGCAATTATAATGCAATGATTACTATTGCGTTAGTGAGAACTTCTATCGAATTAGTAGTTCATATTGACTTGCAAAGCATTCCTATTTTTCCAAAGAAATAGCTTTTTAGTTATAAGTCATGTAAGTATTACGTTTTGTGTAAATTAAAATACACTTTATGAATTCATGGGACTCCCTATATTATGTATCTATATTTACCGTGGTTAATTTATATACTTTATTTATCTTCAAATATATAACCAGAGGGGTAAATTGTCATCAATTGCCAATAGATAGGCTAGATGAAATTGAGCTCTCTTAACCAAAATTCTATCTGAAAATTTCTAACCATTGGACATTGACCTTATGCTACAGTAGCGCCATCTATTAAGCTTAAAAAGTATAGACTATTGCTATAATAGATATATATTGCTTTTCCTACTGTTAAAACTTCTTATAAAATGTATTTTTCCTTATTTATTAAAACCACGGTTTTTATTTTAATGTATTATTTTACGTAAGGGGTTAACGATTTCAACCTCATTAATAATGTATGCTCAGGGTGCATGATTGATTTATTCGCGAAAATAACAGAATAATAAATCAAGTCTTTTCATTGGTATTAAACATATTTAAAGAATGTGAACTTCATAAACAAATAGGTTATATACCTCTACAAATAAAAATGTGCCATAAACCGTACAATGTAAGAGCTAATTTTATATTTCATACTCTTGTCCTTATACTGTTTATTTTCAAAATAACGATTATGCACCCCGATTGGTGGCGGCTAGACAAGCGTACATGCAGACATTATAATAAGTATTTACTCAAATTGTGATATTTATGTATTTATCAATCGAATATTTAGGGTCATTAAGAGCTGATTCAATGGTTAGATAAAATTTACCTGGGGATTAATTATGATGCTGTCGCGTAAGAATGTTTGTGTAAGACAGTGACAGCAACAATTTCCCTCATATAAAATTTATCTGACTATTAAAAAATCTACCCTAAGAATACTAGCAAATGTTTATAAGTGATTGTAATAGCATAGACTAAAGTTTTATCATTTAGTAACTTTCCAAAAAAATCCTTTAGTGATGAAAAGAAAAGGCTTTAAAAAGTCTGTAAATTCTTAAATCCAAATACAATCTAAGACATCTCTTTGGGTTGAATTGAAGACTAAATTTATCCAATTTCATTAATAGGGAACATCTTATTTTATAGTCACTGTTGAAGATACTGAACCTTTGCCTATAAGAGTTACAATCAAAGTCGTTATTACCTTGGCCGGTCAATTGTTAAATATGATTTTATGGTTGTATACGTGTATTAATGTATTGAATACTATTTTATATGTGTCCTTGTTCACCATACTCAATTTATTGCATTTGCTAACGAGATAATAATATTTCTTGACTGTATGTTTAGTTGGGCACACCAGAGGAAGCGTGTTTGTAGATTACTGCGAATTTATCATTGTTCTAAGTTGTCGAGTGGCAAGTTATGGCTGAACACATTCCTGCCTTGCTCCAAAACTAAGCAAGCTCAGCATTTATATAAGCAAATATCTACGTAGAGAATAATTTAGGATTTTTATAGTGATATGAATCGTTCCTAGCCCTAATTTAAATTTGGACAAAAATGCTGTGATGCGATGTTTCTTTTAAAGTATTATTGTTAATTAAACTAATAAGCAATAATAGATTTGTACTCTCTATGACATTTGTAAGCAATAATGTAATTATTATGGAATTATAATGGACTGTAATCTCACTTTAAATATTATATATTAAGTATTAATGTATGAGATCCCTAGTGTTTTGGTCCATTTCTAAAATTGGCCGTGATTTTAATTTATTGTTAATGTAGTTCGCAATTTTTAAACCCGGTTTCACGGATGTTGTAGCGAATGTCTCCTAAGGGATCTGGTCATATCGTGTTACTTGTAATCAGTATAATTAATCGTGATAATGAATGAATAAAATATTAATTTTCACACTGTATTTTATGTTCCTAAATAAAAATAACAATCATATTCAGCCTATAAGTGCCCACTGCTGAGCAAAGACCTCTTCTAACCTAAGAAGGTTTGAGCAGCAATCACCACTCTCGCTCAAGGCGACTTGGTGATTTCAAACTTTATTAGAAAATACAGGTCCGGATTTCCTTAAGATGTTTTTCTTCAATGTGGTGTCTAAATCTAAGAATTGCCTGATAGATCGTGCCCGAGAATCAGATGATTTCAAACTCTGGGCCATCTAAAATACTAATAAAAATAATTACCTTGAAATGTTTGGAATTGCATAAAAAGTGTGATCGGAATCATTGATGATGCGTGAAGGATAATTTGAGGCGGTAAGTTAAGCGTGATCTGTGGCGCTGACGGTGGCCGCAGTTGACCTCACATGCGTACGCGCACGGGCGGCGCAGCATCCAGCGCGCGCGCACCCACACAACATTAGTCGCGCGGCACTCGCGCGCAGCTACACGCGCCGCGTGCTCACACCACCATATTATTATTTATATTTCACTTTAGAACCGCGCAATCTTACGAACACATCGTAAAAGCGAGGTTCATTGAAATATATTTTATTTATTTATTTAATGAATTATAAGTGCATTGTGTGTGTTAGAAGTAAAGTATAAGTGGTATGTATTATTATTAACTGGTATTAATTAATTTAATCACGCACCTACACTATTTTCTCTTTCATGAAATCATGAGTTCGGACTACAATAAAAAATGTAATTTATAACGATGACTACAAATAAAAAATAAAAAAATAGAATCAGTATTATTATACTGATTAAACGTACCTACGTATAGGCTATGTATTTCGAAAAAATACTATTATTTAAGTAACTAAATTATTTTTCTCAATTCTTCCGATACTCCATGATAAGCATAGTGAAACATTAAAGAGCAATGGGATAAAATATATGTAAAGAACATTTTTCTGTGTTTTTATCCGATTGCTCTTTAATGTTTCATGGCAAAAATTTAATTTGAAATTTTTCCATATCCGTGGTGTAAAAAATACCTACAGTAATATGTGTCATAATTGTATTACCATTATATACAAAAGACCAACGTTTTTTCATATTCAATAAGAAATTTGCAGCTATTGGTGATGCTTTTTTTGAATAAAATAAAACATCCAGTATAATAGAATGTAAAATAAAATTATAATTAACGAAGCACTTATATTTTTAATTACTTACACTTTTAAGTATTCGTATCTGTTTCAATTTTATGTAGGTACCTAACACAATTTTTTTACAAATTCAGTCGTGCTATTCAATAAAAAAACAACCAATATACATTATACAATATACAACATATTTATTTGCAAGTAAAAAATATAAAGACTACGTAATTATATTAAAATTCACGTGATATTATCACAATTCACATTATCTATATGTATATTGCCACAAAAAACACCAACATAACATTATTTAAACTATTCAAAGACAGGCGACGAATACAAAGAAATAAAATATTATTCCAACATATCATGTTCACATAATCATATTTATAACTAAGTAGGTTCTGATTCTATACCTGTAAAAAACTAAAAAAACGCACTTGTCTATAATGACGTTAGTTTACATGGAAAATCCAACAAACTCCAACAAAATTTTTCCACAAAGACGAATATACTTGCGTATATAAGTATAATTGATGATTTAGGCAAATACTATATGTATTTACTCATAACAATACTAATATTCATTTACAACCAGATTTATATTAGTAGTACTCATTTACTTTGTTTGTTTGCTAAATACATTACATTTAATTCTATTAATTTTCAGCGCTTGACAATTTTTCCTCCCGTACAAAATTCTATCATGTATTTCTCTCTTACCTACTATTAATTATTGCATATTAAACACCTGTACCTACGGCAAATTTCATCTTTTTAGGACCAGTAGTTTTGCATATTTTGTCCGTCAAACACGCAGTAGGTACAATCAGCATCAAATATTTAGGGACACTTAGAATACTCAAACATATGTACATCTATGTGTATTTAAAGTACGCTGATTAAACCTAGTATGACGTTTTTAGCGTAAATTCTTTGAGCGATGACTATAGTTGTACCGAATTTTTTCTGTGTACCCATTCGTCTACATTGAGCACTCTGAGTGACGGAGTGTATCAAATGAAATAATAATAATCCGTTGTTGATCATTATTACTATTTACGTAGCTAACAATCTAAATAAAACATCAGTACGTAATTGGTACATAAGTTCAGCTAATACACAATTACAGTAACACGCTATAATATTATTTTAATTACTGATATTTACCTAGGTATCGGCCGTTTATTTATCGATAGGCTTACAGGTACATAAAGAAGAACTCCTAGACCCGATAGATAGGCATGTAAAGGTTTTCCACTATCACTTGGTATTGGTTACTTGCCCTTTAAAGGGAACAAGCTGCCAACGCTTATACTTACGATAAAGCGTATTTTAACATATGCCCATGTTTAAGTATTTTAAAAGTATGTGTGGACTATGTAGTACAGGTTAAATAATCGTAAATGGGAGCCCGAAATCAGGGACGGCGGACTAAATTCGAACGGAACGGGGGACGGAACGGAAAACGGATGAATAAAATATTTTGTTAGGTACTTCAATATGTCGTGCTCAATTGTTATAATGTATCGCCCTGGCTCGAAGCAGACAGGTGTGGTTTTCAGTCAGTAAGAGCCTCACATTCCGTCGGAAAATCATCAAATGACTTAAGGGCAACCACCGTTTTCCGCTTTCAAAAAAAGTCGTTATTGTAATGGAAATAATGTCATTATTGGAATCAAGTCTCAGCTTCCTATTCTGTCTGCTTCTACCTTCTTAAAATATATACATATCTACAAACGATCCGCCTCTGCTTCGCACGAGTCTCCAATTATCTTGCTTACGACAAGTCCTTATTCCACAGCAATACTTCTTTACATTTCTATTTTATTCATAAGAATCTTCTCCTGACTATAGGAATCATACTAAAAAATGATTGGTAAAATTGGTCCCGACGTTGTTGATTTATGCGCTTACCAACACAGTAAGCGCAATATTTTGCGATTCATTTTTATATTATAAATGTATTATAAAAATAAGGGTAGGTCAAGACACAGTCACCGCAACTCGTTTCACTGCACGTGATCTTAGTATTTATTGACAAAAACCATAAATACCAACAGCATATCACTGCAAGCTATATCTGGAACTGTTACTATTGTCGGTCCTAGAATTTTGGCCCATCTCCCACTGACGTGCCTAGAAATTGGCTGACGGCCCCAAATAGTCTACAACTTCGCAGTCTACACATAACTCGAAAAGATCATTATAATATAAACAGCACACAACTATCAGGTCATCCAACCATACCATAATAGTCCTAGATCATTAATACAATTACATCATTAATGTGGACATAAGTTTCTAAAAGAGCGGTAAGCTGAAAAGCCCTGGCTTCAATACCAAAACACGGGAAATCAATTAAGAGTAAAGGAACTTAGTTAAGTGTTCTAAACACGAGATCGCGTCAATGAATCCTTGAAAGTTATTCGAAGTGCACAACGATACGATATCTGTGCAAAGATGTTAAGCATATCATAAAGAAAAAAACACAAGCGCTTTAGACATCTTTCTCAAACTCGTTGATTTCGCGTCGCGGTGTGCGTCTGCGGGTGTCACATGTACTTCGTAGATATAATCAGTAACAAGTAACTTATAATAAAGGCAATTCACAAAGTAAATCGGATGTGTAGCAACACGCGAGCACCGGCAGTTATAGCTAGTAGTGGCATATCCTTATGTTGTTACAAATACGAATCCAGTTATCGTGACCGGCGCGCATCCTTAAAGGTTAGGATAATGAGCGAGCGTTTTCCTCAGTTTCTAATGCCCTTGAAATGATTTTTCCACGTATTGTGCTCCTTAGCTGTGTTATGCGAGGTTGTAGGTCGGCACCGACGTAAATAACAAACAATTTAACACAAATAAAGTCTTACGAGATGCCGACAAGGCGGGCCAACTTAGCAAAGGCCTGATTATGCTAACATTTGCAAAATACTAAGAGTTCAGTTGCATGGTATTGTTCGTGAATACGTTTCGTGTCGTATTATTAATTTGACAAAAACAAAAACAATACCGTGTCGCATTGTGGCTGCAGTCGCAACTTCAACACAAAGGGTGATTTACTGTATAACTTACTTTTGTATAAGTAACGGACAAATGTTGTAAAGTTGTAAAGTACATAAACACACAATACCTATACATTAACTTACTATAGACATTAAGCAATGCTTCAGCTGCAAACACAGCTTATTTTTAATAAACCTTTAAAACTGCTTTCTTGCTACAGATAAGAATCTGCGAGTTATTATCCAAATTATTCTCACTATAAACTATGTTATTAACTAGAATTGTTTGGCAAATAGTTTAAGCACTTTAGCCTACGTTAGTTCTGTTGGTTAACATAAAACCATCAGTTAACATACACTTGACCCTGCAAGCACTGCTTAACCTTGCAAATTGATTGGCACCGAGCAGAAATCTAAATAATAACCTTTCAATCACGTGTCGCCGAGTATCTATTAACTTTTATTAAAATTATATAGTTTCTAAAATCTTGACCAGTCGCACTACTAATAAAAATAGCAAATGGGTGTTTGTCAAAAATAACTTTTTGTAATTTGCTTGCCAATTGCAAATATTAACGGCTCAAACGTTTGTCTTACTAATTCATTTAATAATGTGTAAACGAGGTTTGCTAATGTTTTAAGGCAGTGTGTTTGCAATCAGGAAGTTTGAGCCTTTCCGCGTATTTTCAAACCTACAATACAATACAAATATACATAAATATACCGGCGCACAACAACCGCTAAATCGGTAATGACAAGACAACTATTTGTTTTCAGTCAACATCGAAAAATTTGACTACAATAGACCTTTGTCAAATATTTTCATTTATTGGAAATTGACCTTTATGTTACAGACTAATTACGTTTGAAATTAGGTATGTCTGTCGCCTACGTTAATTCGTATAACAGACTAAAACTAAAAATAATGTGACCTTAAACTTACCAAATTCTATGCATATATTATGATTATGTTACGCACATACGCTAATACTTACCTAATGTCGTGGTGGCCCGGAAGTTAAGATGCTCGCTTTTCGTGATTGTTATTAATATTCGTTACTTTTTCCGAGCTATATGTACTTTGTAAGAGTATTAAAACACAGGTGAAGGAAACATTGTGACTAAACCTTTTCTAATTATACGTCACCAATCCGCTTTGAGCAAGCGTGGTGATTAACGTTCAAACCTTCTCCGTGTAGAGAGGTCTTTGCTCAGCAGTGGGCAATTTTAGGCTGATAATGATTATGATGATGATAATAATATGCTTACTAAACAAAAGTAATTCCATCAAATTTTCGTATCTAAACTGATTCGTTCAACAATGAAACAAAGAGTTTATGTTTGGAAATAGGCCATTAAACGGCACTTTTACGCGTCAAAATTATACTTCAAAGACTAGATGAAGGCGGCATTTCCTATCTGAATTCTCTTATTAGAATTGCCAAAACAAAATACGTTTACGACACTTCTATATGCTTGTGCTATGTGGGTCAAAATCAACAGCTGTGCACAAATACAAATCACTGAACTTGAACTTGGTTCGTGTTTATTTATACTTAGGTAAAAGAATTTGTGTACTCATAACACATAATATTTAGCGTCCTCTTACGTCCTCTATGACGAATGGCATGGCATTATCATTAGTGTGGGAGAGCCAAGCTTCGGCACGAATACCACGGCCTCACATAAAACCGGCGTGAAACAACTACATCGTTGTGTTTCGCCGAGTGAGGATACCGGAGTCCCAAACCTTTCCCTCGTCGAATGCTAAAATCTCCAAGTCCCTTTACCCCAAAAGGTTAGCAACGCACTCGTAACCGAAGGAGTTAGGAGTTAGGACCTTTTGCAGGTGTCCATGGGTGGCGCTGATTGCTTACCATCAGATGAAACGTGTGCCCATTTGCCGTCCAATAACATAAAAAAAACAATCATAACGAATAAATTCAGAAATCGCGTAAAAATTACAGTTCTCATTATAATGCATTTAAATTCTTTTTTAATGGCAGCAAACAAATTATACGTGTACGTCGATTTTAAGTTCCATTGGCATTAATCACGCTAAGCATATATTAAAGGCACTTATATTATTTTAAAAAGGTTCTTGTCCAACGTACGTATTAGTCAGATATGTGGTATATGACCTATGGAATTACGCCTATAAAATGTTCTCTGTTTACACGTAAGACAAATAAAAAAAAAAAGTTGTATTTTTTTGGTTTATCTTAATACCTATGTTTGTAGATGTATAGGTACATAAATGATTACGCGTGTATTGGACATATGTACATTTAGTATATGTAAGTAGGTAGGTAACGTTAATACGTCGATGTATTTAATACTCAAAAAGTATTTATACAACACTAGCTACTCTCGCGCGGTTTCACCCGCTACTCGGCTCCATTTGATCGTAGCGATGTTTTATAGCCTATAGCACTCAGGAACATTGTAGCTATCTATCAGTAAAAGAATTTCGGCTATCCGATCAGCGCGAGCGGTTCCACAGATACAAACTTACATACAAATTTTACCTGTTTATAATATTAGTATAGAAGTATAGATGAATTCTCCCAAAAAACCCAACCTAACCATTTATGGCATTTTGTAGTGGAAGAATGCTTTGAGTTTTATTAAATACTTTATAATTTTCTAAACATTTTTAAATGGCGAAATTCAATTAAATCGTTACGCTTTAAAATTTAAGACACGAAAATTCTAGTAATTTGATTATCGTGTTATTGAACTTATATCCACGTAAGTACAACATTACACAGACATTTCACCTTGACTTTTAGGTAAGTTTTGGCGTGATTATCAAAATACAATTAGTGGTTTATTGTATTTAATAAAGATATAAAATTTGTATAGGTATAGGTATAACCTTTAATGGACCTTCAATTAGATATTATTTTCTATTTTTCTATGGTTCCTAAAAAAATCTCAGGTCGAACATAGCGGATCTATGTAAGATAGTACCTATCTACTTCATGTATATACACTGTGTGTGTGATTAGAATTCGAAATAATTAGAAGCACACACATTTAAATTCCGCATTCATTCATTCAATTATTTGCAAGATGAACTTAAGTATTTCCAGCTAGCAAAGCTGGTCACTATTTTCAATGCTCGAATAGGGAAGCCGATAAAAGATTTTAGATTATGTTTTGACAACAGTACAGATTAATCACCTGTCATTGTTCCGTCAATTAATGGACGTTAGCATTTGAACGAGATAATAATGTAAATATCTTAATTTTCAATGCCAACGTCAATTCCAAGTTCTAGCAACTACAACAAAATATAAATACAAAAATACTTCCTCTTCATTCATTTCCATGATAAACAACGTCACCTCGACCGCCAAAATACAATTTTCATAGAAAAATACTTTATAGCTCACTTAATATTCCTATGTTCTGTCCTTGTTCACAGCTAAACAAACACACTGGAGGCCCACGTGAGATGTTATGAGTAAACAGACCAAGCATTAACTAAGTATAAATTATTCGTCAACTGAGTATATACAAAGACGTAACGATGCAGTGGTCGTGGAGACAAGCATTCTTTTGCATCACCGGGATCCTCGGGAGCGAGAAGAATGAGTCGAGTGAGCCGTTCACGAGGTCATGTCTCGGCAGAGTATCTCCGCTGTACTGGAGGGTACCCATCCTCGTGTGGGCGCTGTTCATCCTAATCTGGTCCATGTCATTCTTCTGGGGCCCGACACAGATGTTCTTCTTGTACATGACACACTGGGGCCTGGCATTCATCGTTCTGGAGTCGTCGTTCGGAATATTCGTGGCCATAGGACGGAGAGGTTTGACAGGTAGGTTGCATTTAATCACTGGGCTAATTAAGTGATAATGGTCGTGTTCCGAGCCAGTCGGTGGTGCGTCACTAATGGCGGTGGTTGCTCCACCTCGTGTTTCACATAGCATCCTGGCTGCGGCTGCGGATGGTGCAGCGGTAGCTGGTGCAAGAACTCTACCCGGTACTTACACTCGTTGGCCTGCCCACTGCGGCATTCCTGTTTCGTATAATAGATTCACGCCACCGACTTAGTTCAGTTTAGTCACGCGTGCATGAATCTTTCGCAAAGGAACCAATAAAACCAGATTTTTAGATAATTATTAGTGTTGCCTATCAAATACCTGACGACACACTACGTACATACATATTTACTAAATCATTTTCATACATACAGTAATTTTTCTTTTCGTTTCATCAACAAATTGTCGAATATAAATGTTATGGAAATGTTCAGTGAAATATATAGGTTCGCCCCTTATTTACATTATTCGCAATATTTTCCTGATTTGATTTGCTTATATATATATATTTGATTTGCTATAACGGTCATAAGACCATTATAATTACAAAAATAGTCTGCAGATAATTATGCTATTGTCGGAGGTGAACTAAGACCGTGGGAAGGTTAAGGCTTGATAAATATAAGATAAGCAATCTCTGCCTACTTCCACAATAGATAAAAAATTGTGCAACACAGTCACCAAAACAAATAGAAAAACAAAGATTTTAAACTTGCAAAAATGTTTTCGTCCTTCAAAGTCTGTAGAAGAAGACAACGTATTGTAAACATGTTTACTCGCTAGACTTATATATCTATAAACTTACCTGCTATCGTTATCTAACAGGGAAAAATACCAAAATAATGAAGATATACCCTCCTTAGCTAACAAGAATAATGTAGTACCTACCATACGCGTTATAATTAACGACGCGCCTCAGCTGCACACGATGTCTTAACGATAAACGACAACAGTGCTTCGTGCAAATAAGTCAACGAAGTATAAATAAAAATGGAAATCGCAAGAAACGATTAAAAATCTATGTCGCAAGGCCTTGGCGATACAAAGGAACAAGTTCATTACAGAAAGAGTGTTGTTACAAGATCAGGCCGTCACGTCGCGTCGTCGTCGCGCCGTCCTCACGCTTCACTGCTTGCAGTACATTTTCACTGCTTAGTTGATCACTAACTATGTACACGATCGGTACTATTTCATGCTGCAAATAAAGATCCGATAAAATTAAGGTTATCATCGGAATCTTGTGAAGGATAATGTGATCACGCGTGGAACAAAGAACGTTTGGAAATGCTGTTGTGTAGTGATTGTGTTCAGTGTTCTTTGTTAGTGTTGATGTTCTGTAGTAGTGCGGTGTGGACGCGATGCTGTGTGTGTGTGCGCGGGCCGAGTGTCGGTGGCGCATGTGTCTGCTGGAGCACCCGTCCCCGGCCAACTTCTACGTGAGCTGTTGGCAAAGCAACCGCTCGGCCGCGCCGCTCCTACTGCTAAGGAGTTTCCTCTTCCTGTTCTCGACGTGCGTTGTGCTCGCGTCTATCGCTGTGCCCTTGACATTGAACAGTTTACATTTCGGCCATTGGTTCATATACTTAACACATTGGGGTTTCCTACTAATTGTTCTTACTACGGGCTTCGGTACTGCGGTTTCCGCATACGCTTTCTATAAGAAACCTATTGGTACGCTTGTTTTCTTACTTACTTATGTTTATAAAACACGTGTGTAACATATCGACTGATAAGACCTGCACGTAAATTTTTTATCAAATATGCTTATATACGTACCTACTAATAACAATAGTAGTGTAATTAATCCGAATTAATTCGACGTCTGTTGATTAGAGTTTTTTATGGATAGACATACCGTGTTATGGAGATGATGTATCGAATCTAAAAAAGGATGTATGAATGGGCAATATGGTCATGTCGGAGGGTTACGTCGGCCGTGGGACGTGCCGCGAAGATCACGTATAAAATGATCGGCCGACCTCGCCGCACTCGTGCCGACACCTGAGGTCTTGTACCTCTGCATTATCTCATCTATCACTCACTACTCCCATAACTTACCATCTCCCTACATTTAAATAACCAGTTCTATAATACATGTTAACTAAAACATTTACTATTGCAAATGTGTCTAACATTATTATTTGGAGGTCGTGTATAATATTATAATGTTATGGAGCGGATGCATTAGTTCTGTTCCACATCGACCAATGTTAGCGGAAGCTGTGAACGTTACATTCACAAAATTATACATTAGATTGTGATTATGCGTAGATTTCCCATTGATGGACGGTAGGAACAAAAAAACAATCAGAAACTGCGCAAGAGTAACAACTTCAATTAACGATTAAGTAATAAGTCTTATAGAAATAGTTACATTTTTTTTTAAACGTTGCCCCACTCTAGGGTTTTCTCCTGTGTCATGGGTGCGTTTACAAACATACAATTTCATATGCACATCACACCCAGACCCGGAACAACAATATGTGGATCACACAAAGTTGCCCAGCCACCGCGCCAACCGTGCAGTCGAATATATATATCGCAAGTTTGACACAAAAAAAAATACAATAAAAAATCATAATAAAATAAAAAACGCATCTATCTAATGTATAAATAATATATAATACATTTGTACCTTCTAATAAAAATGAAGGTACAGTCTGACATTGAAGCAGCCACATTCAAAAAGTCCATCTAATCCTCGTTCAGGGCTAGTATCGAAAATATCAGAAAGGTTCGCAGTAAGCTGCCTACATAATAAAATTTGTTTTACCCACAGACGCTACGTTTGGCCTGCCATGGTACGTGAAGACATACTGGATACTGTACAACATCACAATTCCCGTCTCCTTCCTCATCACAGTATTCTACTGGGGAATCTTGAAGACTTGTAAGTATTTGATCTTTATTTAATATTTTATTAAGACTTTTTGAGGGGGGAAATAAATAAATGACAATATATCACCCAGGGTGGGGTCAAAGGGAGTGTCAGACTCTTTTGCTTTGGCCACACTAACGAAATGCCATTTATTATCGTGATAATGGATGTTAATCGTAGGTGTAATTTGATCACTAAACGAAAATACATTTTTCATTGTTTAATATCATCAATTGTTGCGATAATTATTGGCATTTCCCGTTAGTGTGTTTTCTCTGTTTCTTCTCCTGCTCTGGGCCGGGACCTCGGTTCATTATTGCGCTAGCCCTCGTAACCCTGGCTGCATTAATTATACAGCTTAATAGCTGTCATTGTCAGTATTAACATTGTATTTTTATGTGATATATGACATAGGTGGGGTCTTACAAAATGTTAATAAAAGTATTACATGAGGCTTAAGAGATTACTGGTTGAAACATGCAACTGTTGTGCTCAGCCAGTGTTAAAACAAAAAACAGTAATATAGAAGCTTTTTACCATTCACATATTAATAATAGGAATTATGACTGCTAATCAAATTCAATAGTTTTTTCAAAAGACAAAAGCACATTGTGACAGTTCCACATTGTGATACATATGACACACATATCACAAATTCCTCAAAAATGTTCTAAAAAATACTCAAAAAAATTAAAACATTTAATAAAATCAATCCATAAGAATTGTTGTATAATATTTTATGATCATTTTTTTTTTTTGTAAATTTACGAAACGGGAACATTTCTTTAATAACCCAGTTACCGCTTATCACCAGCCAAGTAAGTCTTTCAAATTAAATTCAAGTGTTAATTACTTAGAATGACCTACATATAGTTTATCGGCTGTTATAAAGACCCTAAAGACGGCTTAACAGGTTTCAATAACCTCGTTTGCAACAGTTTTTTTCTAATTCAAATCAATTGCTTCCAAATACTAGCGTTCATAATCAGATTAGTTCCAACAGACTCTTTATTTAAGAGTTGCTAAATATTGCCGTATTTTTTAATTAGGTACCTACTTCTGTTCTTAGTTAGACTTACCTAGTACAATTTGTTAAACACAAAGACTGAGATTACACCCATTTACAAGATGCTGTCTACGTACTATTGATAGTTAAGTATCTGTGCGTACCTTGGTTAACGCTACAAGGATACAAATTATTATCAAGTATCCAAATTACGATCGAAATAATGAAGCAACTATGCTATTTACAAAATCACATATAAACGTGGGTGCATCTACTAACGAATCCCTCTAGGGCGATCTAACTACATACTTTCACTAGAAACCCATTCACGGACAAAACTATTCTCAAACACACGATATCTTGCGAAACTGTGACCCTGAATGCTTCACACTACAAAGCCCTTAGAATATGGAGGTCAATACCAAAAGGGCTATTTTAAAATACAAAATAATGGAACCCAGTAAAACATTATTTATAATGTTCATGGTGTAATCGTTTCGCGTTGGTACTTGTACTGGCCATTTATAATACATAAATAATAATATGCAGACGTCACGACCTAAAATTGCCAAGAACGATTTTCTACATATTTTTTTTCATTAATGTTTAATGGCATAGGCCTAGAAACATCTTACTGAGAGGACTTACATGTGCTCATCGTGGCCACCCGGGAGTTTTTAGAGAGTTTTGACTGCATGGTTAGCACAGTGGCTGGAAATCGGCTGCTATGCAACGTGTCGCGGGTTCGATTCCCGTACGGAATAACACTTTGTGTGATCTACAAATTGTTGTTTCGGTCTGGATGACAAATGATGACAAATTCACATATATGTAGAACAACTATAAAAAATGGGAGTTCAAAATTCCACGCTCCCTAAGTCTTTTGCCACAAATTCTAGGTCCCTTTAGAAGGTTTCCCGCCGTAAAACGTCTAAATATAGACGTTAGTTTCTAGACAATATAAATTATTAGGAAAATAAAATAAAATAAAAAATGTAAACAAAAAAAAAATAAAAAATAAACATGAAATAAGAAAGATGTAATACGTAAACAAATGATATAATATGTCAATAGATCAACCATTTAAGAAAACATAAACCATGGCAATAATATGTTTGTTTTCCAGCTGCCAACACTGTGAACTTCGCCTCAAATCCTGTGCTGGACATCATGCTACACGGCGTCAACTCGGTGGTGATGTTGGTGGAGCTGGTCTGCTCAGCACACCCCAGCCGATTGATGCACGTGATGCAGCCGCTGTACTTTGCTGGGGCCTATATGCTCTTCAGTGTCACCTACTTCTTAGCTGGCGGACTGGACCCGTGAGTAGACCAACCAATTCATATTATATGAATCAAGCTACTCTCGCGCGGTTTCACCCGCTGCTCGGCTCCATTTGATCGTAACGTGATGTTTTGTAGGCTATAGCACTTAGGAACATTGTAGCTATCTATCAGTGAAAGAATTTTGGCAATCCGGCCAGCGGTTTTAAAGATTACCCCCTACATACAAACTTACAAATTTTACCTCTTTATAACATTAGTTTAGACTAGCTGACCCCAACAAACTCTATACGAACTCAAAAATAACCATAGTCTGACCTTTCAAACCTTCCCTGGATTTCCTGAACATTTCAAGACAAAAATGATCCAAAAAATACCAGCCGTTCTCGAATTTTAGCGAGACTAGCGAACATCATTTTATATAGAATATAATAATAAATTGTACGAGTAAAAGGTTCGTGCTTGGAGCTCAATAAGATACTCTTTGATTGCCTCATTGTCGATTGATTGCCAATCACAATGTATATGATCGAGCATAGAAAAAAAAAATAGTACCCTATCTGATGATCTGAACATATTTAAACGTCTCGGCTCGGTGCTGATCACCTCGAAATTACTTTAGCCTATAGACACTTTTGTGCCGCCCGCGGCTTTGCCCGCGTGGTATGTTAATAAAAAGTAGCCTATGTCCTATTCCGGAGTATATCCTATGCCTGTGCCAAATTTCATCCAGACCGGTCCAGCTGTTTTGGCGTGATTGAGCAACAAACCTTGGATTTACCTATATACATATTATTAGTAAAATTAGAAACATAAACAAAACTATTCATTATTTATATTTTACAAAACATTTTATTTTTAAATCAGTAGATATTTCGCTAGAATAGTAAAAATATAATCTTAACTTAAGTTTAATGTCAAGACGTCAAAATTGTATTTATTAGCGTTCAATGTTGTTAATCCTGCTCTAATATATCCTTCACACCAATTAATATACTATCAATGTCAACAGACAGACAAATATTGATCAAAGACCTTAGCAAGTATTATACAAACTACTTTTTGTTACCTGTGAAAAAATGAGGACGATCCATATTATGTAGGTAACTGAATTCGAGGATAATTAACCAAACCCCGAGCGAACGCCGGCGCTCGCGCATCTCAATTTCTTCTATTGTGTCTCGAATCGCCATTATTGAAAGTTAAAATGTTATTTAACTGTACCCCGGCCCCAGCCAGGATCGGGAGAAGGAACGGAGTTGTTTTTAATCAATCCGAAGAGTCTTTTACTTTCTTTCGCTCCAACCAGAGGGCCTACCATAACGTGTTAAATGTTACCATGGCGAGAAAGAGGGATGGAGCTATAAAAGTTATAGCTCCGTCCCTCTTTCTCGCCCGCAAGATTGACGCTTTAACACGTCATGGTAGGCATATAGGGCAGGAAAAGGCATTCGATGATTTTCTCCCCTCAAAAAAACCTTATGCAGATGCATAATGTCACATAATTAAGCGCAAATTTATACATAACATTCATAATCAAAAACCTTATATTATATTACATAATTATTATCATTATAATCACTGTCTTATTCAAATGAGACATTTTCGCAACGCCATTGCTGGACTGCATCAACGTAAAAGTTCAAGGTCATATTTTAATGATCTAATTGATTGTTCCGCGGGTCGAATCGGTGATTGTAATCGTAATGTCGTAACATTAGAACCTCGACATCTGAATGACACATGACCAAGATACTGAGAGGTCGATGGACACTCGCACGTGCAATTTCAAGTTCACAACTATTATGTCTGCATACCGTAACAACTCTTCGAAAAAAAAAAAAAAATAATAATAATTTATAGCCTTTCCTCCAGCAACTATCTTCAGTTTATGGCTAGTGGGCCCCGATTCTATAGATTTATCTGAATAGTAAGTAGCCTTTTTAGGGTAGAAAATCATCCAATGACCTCGTCCGGAGTAAATAGACCAGAGGTAGTGTTCAATCGGGATAGAAGCCTATGTTACGCCCAAAATGTTATGTTATCTCTTTGAAATTAATAAGTGCTGATTCATTTCATGAATTCATCCTAATGAGTTTTATTTCAATTTATTTAAATTAAATTGGTTGGACAGGGAAAAGCTGTTAAAGCTAAATTTAAATAATCTCGTTCAAAAACGATTCTACTCAACTACGTACCTAGCTACAATGATGACATCGAACCGTACCCAAAATGCTGAGAACTAGGCCTCTTTTGAGATCTATGCCGCAGAATGCCCTTGATTTCATGGCAGGTCATAAGCCACGAATTCTGTGAACGCCAACAAAATATATCGCTATTAAGCGCAAGGTTAGTAGCAGAGATGATGCGTTCGTACGAGTGTAGTACTCATAGAACCTTATTTAGAAGTTTTACCTTGTTTCAGTATTCGGGGACAATAAAATAAGGAAACAAACAATTCCAAAAACATTTGATTAGTATGCAGAACTTGTTTTTACGCATGATGTGGCATTACGCATTTTTTTTTATTTAAGGACATGTTTATATCGTGATGTTACAGAACACCTTACCAGAACATAAGTAGAGCGTTAGTTATAATTGTGTGTATCTGATGATCTGTCTTACTTGATCATACCACGGCCCCGGCCAGGAGCAGAAAATAGGACGGTGTGGATTTTACTCAGTATGTCAAAATCATTTATTTCAATTAGACCACAATAGGCACTTTTGAACGTCAAGCAAAAAAAGGAAAAAATTTTTCAAGAGCTTTAACATTAAGCGTGTCAGTCCGTCCGTCTGACCTCTAGTGAAGCTATTTACTCGTTCCAAGTGTAGAGTTCCTATGGAGAAGAACGAGCAAGAAACTCTATGGTCACACTTTTTCAATCAGTTTTACAATACATTTCTTTGTCACATCATTTCGTCGTTTATGGTTATGTGAGTCTGACATTTCCTGACGCCCCAACCAAGATAGAGAAGTCATTTGACGACTTTCCCAAAACAAAAAATGAAATGAGGTTTGGGTTGGCTTAAAAAATATATTGAATGATTTTCTTCCCGAAAATCTTAGCAGGTACTGTCTTAGGAATTAAGAACAGTTCTCAGTAACTCAATCGCTCACTAATAACGGATATGGTGTCTGTTACCCAAGAGCCAGCAGTATTGGCAGCCATTTAGAATTATGGTGGCACAATATAAACATATTGCGTCAACTTGATTGATAATAAAATGCAATAGGTAGCTATTGATGTTGATGATTTGAAAAAGGGATTTTATTGTTTACCAGAAATAGAAAATGTTAAAAAATTTGCGTGCAAAATATCTCAAAGACTACCTATTACTTGAAACGCGAATTCTAGGTGAATTCGTAGTCGTATTTGCGTCATTTTTATTATCTATTAATTTATTATTTAAGGCCTAAATATCTACATGTAGGTATATCGCCTATAAACTCCACCTCACAACAAACAACCCAAAGTCTGAATGTTTAGGTACCGTAATATAACAGAACTTAAATGAAATAACAAGCAGTAATTTTCTTTCCAAATTAAATGTGTTTTGTTTCCCCACCTTGGAACGAAAATCTTTTATTTTGATAGTTTTCCTATGAAAAGGGGTGAGTAATCGTACTATCGTGCATCGGGCCCGTTGTTTAGGAATTGGAATAATGAAAATTTGACTGAAATGAACGTAAAATCCCTTGCATGGCAGTCTTACTTAGCACTGATACGAAACTCGTAATCGGATGGTGTTTACTTTAAAGTTTTAACGTATGTGTCCCAACTTCCCAACATATAACAATGACCGAATAGGTGAATAACAATGAGTGGCTGATGGTTTCTATCCCACGCCTATCATAAGTAGTAGAGTGTGAAACTGAGAACAAAATATGTATGACGAAAATACGATTTATATTCAACATTGTTTTTGCGAATGCTTTGAGCGCACTAACATTGAACTTGGTTTTTTTTGCCTACAATAAGATTTGTGGTTAAGAAAATGTAGGTCATAGAATTATTACATTTCCTTGAAGGTTCTGAGAGAGTAATTTACGATATACGCTATTCATAAAACGGTAACAGATTTATTGAAAATCTGCCGACTGCATTCGGGGACGCAACGTCACCGCGACGCGCACGTTGCTCATGAATAAGGGAGCCTTATTGCGCGTTGTGGCTTTGAAACTAGTAGAGGCTTTCTCAGTTATTCTCAATAAATTTAGTATGTCTCACAATGGTCAATATTTAGAAGAGATCGCAGATAATTATAATGTAATTTGTATTACTTTATACAAATATTGTTAATTATAACTGCCGACGCATTGAGGTACCTACTAAATGATTACTTTAATTGCTCGTTCGGGAGCAATTGCTAAGGACTGTGTTTAAAACTATATGAAATAACTCTAACCACGGCAATATTTTTCTTTTCATGTTTTTTGTCTTTTAAAATGTCCAGTATAATCAATCCAATGTAATCAACAGAGACCAGTGAATTTGTTTTACATCTTCGCAAAGAGCTTCGGCAATAAATATTTGAGATAGTACTCACTTATATACATAATAATATTATTATATACCTACTTAAATGTGAACGACCGCACTTGTATCGTACGCCAAAGATGTGCAAGCAAAACCTTGGCTATATTTAACCAAGCAACAAACATTCAATAAGTACATAAGGCTAATATGTACTCAGAACTGTTTATTAAATACTAACTGCCCTTTTGCAAACGGAGACTAATGCAGTCAATGACGTTATATTAGAAATAAATAAATAATATATTCATTACATACCAGCAACTACGGCGTTTGTGTTCATGGACTTAAGTGTGGGAGAGCCGGGCTTCGACACGAATGGGTCGGCTCGATCGGAGTCATACCACGGCCTCACAGAAAACCGGCGTGAAATAACCAAAAAGTTGTATTTCGTCGTGTGAGTGAGGTTACCGGTGGCCCAATCCTTCCCCTACCCCAATCCGTTCCCAAAATCTCCAAATCCCTATTCCACAAAAGGTCGACAACGCACTCGTAACTCTTCCGTCGTTGCGGGTGTCCATGGGCGTAGCTGATTGCATACCATCAGGTACCTAATCCGTTTGACCGTTTGTCGATCTATCGCATAAAAAAATAAAAAAATGGAGAATAATAAACCCTTTTTATAAAATCACAGCATTCCTTCTTTTGCTTCGAGTTCTGTGTTTTATCGTTTGGCTTTACTCGTAACTCTTTTTTTAAGGGAAAAAGAATCTGTTGCCCCTCTTGCCCTGATTAGCGAGAGAGAGAATAAAAGAGAAAAAAAAATCTTACTGACCATGACCAAAACTATCCATTTTCTTCTCTTACATTTTTGTTAAGTGTCTGACTCTCCATCTCGGAAGTCTAGGTCGAGAGAAGTAATTTAATACTTTATCAAAAGAAACCATCAATTCCAAACCCAAACAACAATATATCTTATTATCTTTCATCCGAATTCTTTCTTTTCAATTAAGGATTATGAGGATAGGTTTATTAGCTATCTAGCTATATATAATAACAAAAACAATATAAAATTATACTCGCTTATTCGATTAAGGATTATAATAAACACTTGAAAATTCACTTGGGGCGATAACCTACGTACCTTTAAGTACTCAAAAATATTTACTAAAAAATCTATCCTGTTATCTACCTACTCCAAGATATCTACTGCACTAAAGTGTATCTACGTACCTAATACTTAGAATACGTATTTGCTTAATACGAGTTTGAACATTAAACTTATATCCATATAACACCTTTTGTAAAAATCCTTGAGGGCCTGAACGAATGCTATTTGATAAACAAAAGAACTAGATGCAAAGTGTTGCAAAATGTACATACTTTGTAGGTAGATACTATGTACTGTGCTACAAAAGAGATAAAATAAATCACTCCGTGAGAATGACCTCGCGGGACTTACTGTTGCACGAAATCTTTGGGACATTTGTGTGATAATAATGTACTTATAGTATTCTAGAAGACTCGCTTTTCCCTAAGCCACTATAACTTCTGTGTTCATTCCTTATAACATCAATTTATATATCTACAGCTATAAGTACCTAGTTACGTCACTTTTGTAAGGGGAAAATCATCAAATTACTTCTCCCGCCCATAATGAGGGAAATGAAAGGGTCTGTCATACTCTTACTACTAACTACGACCATTAAACCCCCTCTCCCGTTCCTTCTCCAGCTCTAGGCCAAGGCCACGGTGCCTTATTGCTCATTCAGTAAGTTCCGCAACCCTGGCTGAGCTATAATTAATCTGGCTCAGTAATAAATACAATTTAGTTTTTATTATATTACATTACATGCTGTAAAATATTCCGGTTGAAATTAGAATAGAAGAATCCGTTTCAACGTTCAAGACTGACCTACCTAATTACAAAATATCCACAAAAATATGTCCATTTAAAACATTATTTTTTCCCATGGATTTTCCCATTACGAAACTATCAGTGCAATAGGTAAGTAGGTGAGCAAGCAAAGAGTTCTGAATTGTACTCAGTGCTTAACAATGAACTGATAGCATTCTGAACTAACAATGGTTGGAAGAAGTATAGAAGAATAAATTTTGATTTTAAGGGCTGATTTTTCAATAGTCAAATGTCATCTAAGGAATAAAATTGTTATACAAACAGTATAAAACAGGGACATTATAATTATTCCCCAGGTAACTTTTAGCTAACCATTGAAAAATCAGCCGTAAAATAATTATGGACAATATAAAAATTATAAATAAAGGTCGATTTTTCATGTTTCTCTAAATAAATATTAGTGTTACACTGTTCTCACATAATCGAACCAACTAAATATTGTACCAAAGAATCTGTATATGAAACTGATTTACAAAGAGTACTGACCATGGAGTTTCTTGCTCGTTCTTCTCTATCTGAATCTACACTTTGGAACGAGCAAATGGCCTGACACTCTGCATCTTTAAAATTTTGTTTGACTTTGAAAATTGACTTTATGGCTCTAATTGAAATATATGATTTTTACCAGAATTTTTTTGACGTTCGAATTTAAAAAAAATTAGGTATATTATTATGCAGAATTGTAAGTTGTAAACAATAATTGGCAAGGCCACAATCGAATGATTTTTCTTAAAGTACCTACTATGGGTACCTTGAGTGGTTTTATACCCTTGTGCAATTAAAGTTCTTAGTTTCGGTTATTATTTTATTTTATTACATATACTATTACTTATTTTAATGACTTTTTTGTTTTACCTTGATTAGGCTATTAAGAAAATGTATTTGCGGATAAATTAATTTTCTGTTTAGAAATTTAACGGTTTAGAATCTAATATTAATAATAAATTATATTTAGATACAATATTAATTAAAGTAGTGATCACACAAAAACTACATACTAGAAACTCATGTAGTCTATTAAATATGTAGTTGATGGTCTTCTGTTAGGTACGTTAAAATTCCAAAAAACAAATCTTTCTACCTGTCTTTTACTTACTGTTATTTAATTAAATGTTTTGTATTCAGGTAACTATGGCCCAAAGACTTATACTAACATAATATATACGTTATCTATACTAGTATTATAAAGCTGAAGAGTTTGTTTGAACGCGCTAATCTCCGGAACTACTGGTTCAAATTGAACAATTATTTTTGTGTTCGTTAATCCATTTATCGAGGAAGGCTATAAAACTTTAAGATCTGTAGGAGCTTAGCAGCGAGTGAGAGCGCGCGACTGAAGCTAGTAGGTTATAAAACTTTTTAATAAATGAAATAATATTTAATTAATTTCCTTTTCCATTACAGATGGGGTAACCCGTTCATCTACCCGGTGGTGGACTGGTCGAAGCCTGAGCAGACGATGGTGGTGATTACACTGACGGCATTGTTCCTGGCCTTGATGCACGTGCTGACAGTCGGCATAGCGACGGGCAGGGATGCCATCGCCAAGAGACGCCTCGCGTTAACCACAGGAGTATACAACGATGCATTCACACCTTGACCTTATTTATAGCGGATCAATTATGCGCAGAACCCGTAGCAAAGTCTATTGAGAAACCTTTTGCCATAAGCTTGGACTGAGTTTGGTTAGGCATGAGCTTATTTTAACAGGGGCCCACATTTTGTTGGGGCCTACTTTAGCTGGGTCAAACTTTTGTCGGGCCCTACTTTTCCTTGAGCCCTTTTTTGCCCCAGAGAACCCCTCAAGCTATTTAATTCTCTTGCTACGTGGTTAATAAACACTGTTAACAAGATGTGTGAAACAGTTCGAGAAGAGTCTAGGAGTTCTACATGTGATGCTTCTAGTATCAGCCATGACACCTAACAAGGTTAAAGTGTGACTCCCCTCGTTAAGGAAATGAGTGTGAATGAACTGTTCTGGGTTCAGGTGTTTAGTGTATACAAATGTGATATTATTTATCGAAATCTTTCCTAAATAAACTAGTACATATACAAGCAAGTCGAAACCTACTCCCACAAATAGTTCATAGATTTTCAACTTTATCCCTTTGTGTTCAAGTCGAAAATTGTTTGAAGAAAATTGGAGTAGGTTGATGTGCTGGCGCGTCTATACTTTTTCAAGCAACCAATATACCTATACTTATTAGCGCTAAACATTTTTGTTTTTTGTAAATGAATGTTATCTGTACATAACTTAGCAAAAGAACATGTTTAAGTATGACCTTATACTTTTATTAACAGTAAAATACTATATTTTACTTAAGTATCAAAGCGCACTGTGATTTTAGTTTTTTAAGGTGGTTTAAGTACGTTAGTACCTAGGTGTATTTTCTTTTATAGAAAGGGTTTGTACATAAGATAACACAGGGATTACCTAAATATCTTATGTGTTATGAAAATGTATTCGTAAATAAACGTTTCTGTGAATTTGGAGTTTTTATTTAAATGGCTGCACGTGCAAAGTAAAAATATATGTATCTCTTATCTATGTCGCGTCATAACATTTTGGAGATAAGTCGTCTGGTATGTGTTCATGTGGCTGATAATCCCGATTTTTGCTATATCGAAATGCTGAAAAAACCTTTCTTCCCTTTCTCCCGTCTTGTCTTTGACTGGTACATAGTACATGTAAGGATACGGCTATTGTTATGTTTATCAAGAACATAAAACTATATCAGCAAGTCCGCGACAGTAAAAAACGACGAAGGAAACACAAGGGCGCGCTTCATTAATTATTTTCTGACGCTTATTAACTAAGTAAAGTTTTTTTAATGGAATCAAGGCATTGTTCTATTGTTATCTACAAAAATGTATGGATCATCGTCCATCGAAGGCGCACAATCACGAAGTAACTATCAGAGATAACGGAGTCGGCCGGCAGTCGACAGCCGTCACGCTCGCTCGCAATACACTCGACGAAATAAAATAATCATACCTAAACACGCGACAAAATGGATAAAACGAAAAAATATTTAAAAAAAGAATTCCGATTGCAAATGTTGGATATGACCCACGAAGACCTGTCAGATTTTTACTTAAGTGCGTTTCAAAAAGATGTCTCTCTTTGGCCACTGTTCCTGTTTAGACTAGTCTTGTTCTGTGGATCTATTGCAACTGTAATAGCTTCTATGATAATCATGAGTCACGATATGGCTTTTGAGTACTGGTTTATTTTCCTGACACATTGGGGACTCATTTTCAATACAGTGGCCACTGGATTAGCGTGTGCAGTGTCCGGTGTAAAACTATTCACAGGATTAGGTAAGTTTATTTTATTATTTCCTTGTCAATCTTGTTCAGGGTTTGACAAGCCAATCTACTCTTTTACGATATTTTTATTGTGTTTGCATAAAGTCGAGAATCCAATCAAAACATTGACCGATTCGAGTAGATTGATCTGCTAGCCAAAGTACCTACCTACTGAAATATTTTATGTATAACATATCAATTGATGTACTACATTACAGTTATGGAGCCGGAAATAAAAGTATTGTATTTTTTTCGTTACAAGAAATAATATTTGTTACACAACATCAAACAAATATTTAACTCTTAACGTATTTTATACCATTACCCGTAAATTTTATCTATTTAAACCCGAAGACTAAGAAGTATTGATATAGTATATTTATGAAATACAGAATTATCTGAAATAATTCGTCTATGAATCATGTCCTTATAAATAAATATCAACTTATATAGGTATATCTTTTGTCCAATGTTCCGGGGTTTTTGTAATCTGATAGCAGATGTGGAGTCATTTTGACAATACTACATTCGAATTATTAATTAATTATACATATTTTAATATTAAATATTAGAAGCACAATGTTATATGTAGTTATATTATGCTTACGATAAGTTTCTTACTTATCTACAAATGTAACATGCAAACTCACGTGGACATAAAACACACGTGTTGTCTCAAAAAACCTACTTATAGATAGATATACGCGAGACACAATGTGTTTTCTATTGTGTCTCATATACCGGCAGACAAGAGGTTAATTGCCATCATAAGATAAATAGTACATTAATTAATATTTTACAATCATCATCATCAGCCTATGAGTGCCCACTACTGAGCAAAGGCCTCTTATCATACGGAGAAGGTTAAAGCATTGATCACAACGCTTGCTCAATGCGGGTTGGCGATTTCAAACTTGTAATTAGAAATTATAAGTCCAGGTTTCCTCACGATGTTTACCTTCACCGTATGTCAGTGGTGTCTAAATAATCATAGAAAGTACATGTAAAGTCACATTGGTACTAATTGGTACCGTACTTTTTTTATATTGCTGATACTAAATTTCTCCACTATTATATGGATATAATTGTATGGATAAGTACGTTCACCATGGGCCACCTGTAAAAGGAGAGGGTAAAATAACTAAACGGCCCATACTCATAGTACTTTTATCTTGCTGCATGGCGTCGCAAAGTCGCAAAGCATTCTTTTTTATCGAATAGATAATAATGTAAACTTTTTTTAAATGAGGTATTAGCGAAAGTATCGTAAACTTAAGAGTAAACAAATATAATCCGAATGCTCCAAACTGCTATCGAGAGTTACACATGTTATTGTGAGTCAACCATCAAAGATAGACATAGGCTGTCATGAAATATTTTAAGATTAATTTTTAATAATTTTATGTTCCTATACCTATACCTTATACTTACCTACCTTTAACCATAAGGCTGCACTCGCGACGGAAACTTAAAAATGTAGTAAATTCTTCCCGTTTTCATCATATCATTTCCTGCTAGGAGCAAAGCAGGGAAGGGAAATTATTTGTAGCCTGATGAAAAGTATCCTTCCGATCATTTCACTCACACGGCGGAACACAAGGCTGTAGTTGTTTTACGCCGATTTTCTTTAAGGCCGTGGTATCAATCTGGTCGAACCATGATCGAACCGACCCATTCGTGCCAAAACTTGTCTCTCCTACACTTAAAACACATCATAACCATCAAGTAAACATTCCATTTCCTAATTCCAATTTGCTACTTCATCGAGTACTTCAAAGAGAAAAATATTTCCATTTTTCTTCTCACCGAGCGGTGTGAAACTATAGCTAGGTTTTAGTTATTTTTGCATAGTAGGGAACAATCGTAAAACATACTAATCTTATTGAAAATAACCACTTATTCAAATGAAATAAACTGAGAAAAGCTCTACTAGTTTGAAGGCACAAGGGGTCTCTTATTCATGAGCGGCGTGCGCATCAAGATCTTTCCCAGTTGTTTCACTTTAGTGAGTCATCAAGAATTTAAAAGGAGAAATTACTGAAAATCGCACGAGATCGGGCACTATGTGGGTTAAACTAAAAACCTGCCAGAAATCTCTGCCACTTTCCCACGCGGACGAAGTCGCTGGCAGAAGCTAGTTTTCAATACTTTTGTAACACTTAGGCCCTACCTATACCTACCTATAACAGATATAATTCAAATCATTTTAAAGTGATTTGATTATATGCATGTAGCTCCTAGTTTGTACTTTTAGTTACGTACGTTTTAGTTTCTGTTCTATTTGTTCTATTCTCAAACGTGCTTATTATTATTATTGAGTGAAGATACTAAGAAGGTACTTCACTTATTCTTTTAATTATATCTTCAACGACCAAGAGAATGCCACAAACAAACATTTTTAATTGCCGTATCTAAATAAGTTTAAGAAATATCTTAGGCAAAGAACCGTTTCAGGAAAAACCACCCAACGGTAAATTATAAAAAATCAATGTGTACACACATGTATTTAATTATTTTTGTTTCGATAATGTAAATAATTAGTGTGATAACAATTTCGTTAATTCATCACTATGAGTCATACAATGAACTTTAGTCTGTAAATCTCACACAGTAAGTAAATGATGGATCAAGATGATAGTAATGATTGATTCATTTAGACTCCAATTTTGTTTTATTATTTTCGTGTCAATAATCAAGGGGTAAAACTTGACCTGATTAATTTCTTCTTAAAATATTTAGTTTCATTTGTTTAATTGACAACGTCCGGAACTTACGTGACTAAAGTAAATAATTTTGTTTAATTATAAAAACAAACTCAAAACTAAGTTAGGAGTGTTCAATTTTAACTTGTGGTATTTTTTTGCCGGGGGAAATCATTTAATGATTTCTCAAGGACAAAGCATGAGAGAGTGTCAGACTCTTACTGACTTAAAATCCCCCGTTCCTGCTCCAATTCTGGGCCGAAGTCGCGGTGCCTCATTACGTTTACCCCGCAACCCCAGCTGAAGCGTCTGTGGTGGTCTTATGGCTCTTAGAGCGACGCGTATCATAATAACTTCAGAATTAATGTCATGAATCAACGGGAAATCAATACAATTTCAGTATAAATACGGCTGTTGTACTATGAACCGTGATAACTCATATCTATACTAACGTAATACAGTTGAAGAGTTTGTTTGTTTGATCGTGCTAATCTCTTAAACTTGTGGATTTGGATTCATTTCGCACTTGATAGCCTAGTTGTTGAAGGTTTTATTACTAGTTATAGTTATAAATATTAGGTCTTTACAAGTATTCTCTATGAAATTGCAGCTCTTAACGAAATAAATGAAGCGTATTTTTTCATAATTTTGTATTTCTATTAATCAAAGTGTAATTATAATCACACAAGAATTTAATTCATCTTTATCAATTATTATGTCTGTGAGCAGTGCAAATCACGTTTCGACGCGTACTTCGCGCTTGCAGTTATTAAGTTCGTGAGGTACCCAACAATTTTCTGTTGTGAGTTCGTTTATAATGTTTGCTCAATAAACTTCGTTTTTGACAGTACCCGTACCCCTAAGTATTCGAATTTTAACTTCATTAATGACAAATAAAAAATAAAACACTAACAACTATTTAACATATTACGATTTTAGAAAAAGAATTCCATATTTTGAAGTAAATTAATAATGAAATTAGAAATAAAAAACAAAAAAAAAAGGATTTAAAGTGGCCAGTACGGCAGATTGGCAATTTCATAAGTAAATCTCATTTAAGTCGTTAGTTGAAGGCTGAAGAGATTGTAAGTAAAGTTGCTGCCATAATTTAAATTAGCTTAGAACCATGAGGACCGTTACGAAAGAAACCAAATGACAATTTAAAACTAACTTCTATTCTATTGATTGACAATAGATATATTTTGTCAAACAGGATAGCAATTAATTCAAGAACTAATTAATAGTTGAAGGCATGGTTGACGCGCAACGTAATGTGTGTTTGTGTCGCGCACGGAACAACTCTTTGTGTGATCCACAAATTGTTCCGGTTCTGAATGCGATGAGTATGTGAACTTGTACATATGTTTATAAACGTACCCACGTCACAGGAGAAAATCCTAGTGTGGGGAAATGTTTTTCAATATAATTATAAATCAAATATCACCCTGGTCTACCATGTACGGCGCGTAGCGTTCCGCGCGCGCCTCAAAGAGCCAATAGACCACCACAGACGGGGCCCTAAAGGGCTGATGTTCAGCCGGGGTTGCGGGGTAAGCGCAATAAGGTACCGCGACCTCGGCACAGAGCAGGAGAAGGAACAGGGGGGTTTTTAGTCAGTAAGAGTCTGACACTCCCTCCTGCCCGGCCCTGGGCGGGAGAAGTCATTTGATGATTTTCCCCTCACAAAAAAAAAAAAAAAAAAAAAACCCTGGTATACCATACTCTGTTGCTATGTGCCACTGCGTGAGTGATATAAAATATAGCTTATTAACTTATAATTTATGAGTTTTCATCCAAATCTGTGCATCAGTTGTTGTGATTAATACGTTCAGACAAACAAACAAACAGACTCAGCTTCATTAGACTTCAAAGTAGAGATAACTTTATCAACACGAACATATATGGCACATGCTCATGAAATATAATAAATTACAGGCTTATTACCTATATGATAAAATTTGATAACTCAATAATGAGTTACTATATGCTCTCTTATACTCGCACGTAAAATGACAAACAGATTTTACTGGCTACTTTGGGATAACATGACTGCCTTATTTTGTGAGGAGAAAATCATCAAATGGCTTCTCTCGCCCAGACTCTTACTGAATTCCGTTCCTTCTTCTGCTTTAGGCCGAGGCCGCGGTACCTTACTGCGCTAGCCCCGACCGAAACATGACAACCCTGACAATTATGTTTAGTTCAGGAACTTCCATATAGGATTCCATTTCATATTTCAAACGTAGTATAAATCTAGATTCTTATTTTAAAAATGTCTTTTGGGCTTCTCTGTGTGTGTCATTCATAATATTGATATATAGGTATATAATTCTGCTGTACGTACGTGTATATGTCATTGAACTCCTCCAAAACGGTTTGATCGATTTAAATGATTTTTCTGTACACATTCGAGTAGCGCTCTGGATGGTTTAGATTTACAAATCATCCCGCCAGATGGCGCTGATTGCTTGAAATAGCATGTGATCTCGGAAACGACCCTAACGATTTTGCCGAAATTTGATATGTGGGGGTTTTCGGGGAGGGTACGCAAGTGTATATATGTATATTATTTTATTAATATACCTACTTTAAATACTAAGGAATCCACGTGCAAAATTCCATGTTTGTTCAATCATCTATTTTGTTCTCAAATCAGTTAGTAAACCATTTGCTAAGACTACTAGAGACATCCGGGAACGAGGGTGCAAGCACAATAATGATCCGCGATCCCGGCCTTTAGTAGGAGAAGGAAGGGGGTGGTTTTTACTCAGTAAGAGTCTGACAGTCTCTCTAGCCTAAGCAAAATATTTATATAACTGGCTTGAAATTCAAGTCTCTAGATGTAGATGTGGATGTGGATTTCAAGCCACGTGATTGGTGAATCGCGGCACAGCTCTTCTCAGCTCTGCTCCGCTCCGCTGAAATGGAACTGCACCCTTACCCAGTAAAGTGAAGTTCGTCCTCATTAGAGTTTGAAGAAAGCAGTATGCAAAATGTGGAAAATTACGTAAGAACTTCATTGTGTATTTGAATAGTATTAGGTATATAACTATTTTGCTTTTTTCCTTATACAAAAAGCTATCAAATACACCGCTTATATTTAATATAATCTTAAATGTTATATCACTAAAATAATCAGAAATGAATAATTTCATGATAAAAATATAACATAACCAGAACAACATATTAAATTACGGATTGAAAAGATAAATGAAATGACTCACGGAGTGTTCGCATATATTTGTAGTATTCAAATTCTTAAAAGTATGACGAATAGTAAGTAGGATAAAAAGTACTCATTTTGCCTATTTCCGACTGTAAAGGCGAAAACGCCGATCTGCGGACGACGAGCAACAGACAGCCGAGGTTACGGTGCAGGAGGATAAATTGTGGGATGTTTAGTCAGTAATTGTCTAACATTCCCTATCGCCTTACACTGGCAGAAGTAATTTGATGATTTTTTCCACACATCATCAGCCTGTTGTCGTCCACTGCTGGACATAGGCCTCCCCAATTGCACGCCACTGAGCTTGATGTTCAGCTCTTCTCATCCAACCACTGCCAGCCATCCTACGGATGTCGTCAGTCGTCAGTCGTCTAGCTGGAGAGCGCCCTACACTACGTTTGCCTAGACATAGGTCTCCACTCTAGAGTACGTTTCCACACAAAATAAGATAATATGATCTGTTCAATGTTCTATCGTAGTCGTAGACCTGCTACGTGCTACAATTGCTCGTAGCAAAAGAAGAGCAGCTACGATCTACCGCCTTTTTGAACTTGTTTCATACATTGGGTCCCGGGTCTACAAATTCACACGGTGTTCTATACTTCTTGTATGATAACGCTTGCAATTATCAGGGACCTTACTAAGGCGTTTGCAAAAGGATTGGCAAGTTACTAAAATCATCTCGCCGCAATCCTTCACCTACAAAATCATTGACATTAACTTTATAAATAGTATAAACTAATCTAATTCCTAGAAATCTATTAGATCTATTAGATTGGATTAGTATAAACTAATCTAATTCAGAACTATTTTCTTCTTTCAGATTCGAGCATAAATACCCTTGTAAAGTGGTATTGGGTTTCTTTCAACTCCACCATAACGATAGCGTTCTTCATCACAGCGTTCTACTGGACGCTGCTCAGCGATAATGGTAATTATTTTATTTCTTTATTAACATTATATCAACAACAAAAACAAACATCATTTGTCATTGTGAAACAGAATTTGTCTGAAGAATAATATAAGGACCCGTGTGACTTGAAACTAGTTGAGTTTTTCTCGGTTAGTTCACGAGATTAAGTTGTTATTTTCAATAAACTTAAGCCAAGTTATACACGAATACACATGGACTAATTTAAATTATTATTTTATAACAAATTCGTGTTGCTAATATTCTGTTTTTATCCAGTACTCTAGCAAAACCTAGGTAATAAAATCAAACTGCTTCCATCTAAATCTTACAAGATTTTTCGTATAAGTATTCTTAAAAATAATAATTCCTATCCAACTGGTATAAAACGCTTTGTGTAGTTGTGAATCAAAATATAGATCGACGGAAAAAACCAGAAAAATAATGTAAGCCTTGATTAAACGTAGGCACCTACATAATTATAATTATTATATCGAGATTGCGCATGAAGAAATAGTTGAAAGCATTTGAGCAACCCAATTTAATACTAACGTGATCTCATATACCTATACAATACTTATTAATGTATATTACACAAAATATTGTGTTAACTTACATGTATATTACACAAAGTATTGTGTAAACTATTCATTCAGTATAATTCAGTCAATAAAAAATCTCGTCCAGGTTAAGGCGAGAAAGCCAGGGTTGCGGGTGCAGGTTAAGCGCATTGAATCCCCGCGGCCTCGGCCCTTAGCACGAGAAGGACGCACGGGGGGGGTTTTAGACAGTAAGAGTCTGACACTCTCTCTCGCCTAACCCTGGGCGGGGGAAGTCATTTGATGATTTTCCCCTGACAAAAAAAAGGTTACGGCGAGTGTCAGCCTCTTACTGAGTAAAAAACTCCCTATTTCTTCTCCTGCTCTAAGCTTCCTTCTCCTTGCCCCACAACTCCGGGGTAAAAATATATACCTGTGGTTGAAGATTAAAGTATAGATATATAGTACTTACAAGAATTTTGACGATTTTCCCGTCTCAAAAAAAGGTATATTTTCCTAGCATTTCAAAGCGATTGAGTTACAAACATACACACGTTTGAACTTTGTTTTTCCAAAATTAAATTAATTGCGTTACGATGGGTCAGATAATGTTTATAAAGAGGTCACATACATAGATCACCAAGAAACACGTGGAACAGAACATGCAGTAAAAATGGCGGCATTAATCTAATCGCGTCCCACAAGTATTATTTTCATATTTCCTTTTTTTTCAAATTTATTTACATTAATATAGTGAAGTTTGAAGAGACAGCGAACTTACTTTTAAGGTATAGAAGAAATATCTTAGGGTTATTTGAGGCTTACGTCCCCCAGATAACTGTAAACCATATTTAAAAAGCTAAAGATTTTAACCCTCCTTCCCTCTACATCTATGAGATTTTTGTATTTGTAAAAGCGAATAGGGTAAAAGTTTGGAAGTGAAGTCTGCACTCGCATATCACAAAATAGCAAACTATAGGTATTCCCCTAAAAAGCAGCCCTACTTTCTGAAAGTTTCTCCGGAATGTCCTAGTGTAGAAAACAATACATGAAATGCATTTTTTATAAATATTCCATATTAATAAACAGTAGGAACAACCAAAAAGCAACCCTATAACCACTGTCTAACAATAAAGATCTGTAACTTTACTTTGAAGTTTCATCAAAACAATACCTTTAAGTTTGGGAGAGCCATGCTTCGGCACGAATGGGTCGGCTCGACCGGAGTGATACCACGGCCTCACAGAAGACCGGCGTGAAACAACCACAGCGTTGGGTTTCGCCGTGTGAGTGAGGTTACCGGGGGCCCAATCCTTCCCCGCCCCCAATCCCTCCTCATTCCTTAAATCTCCAAATCCCTAATCCCTAAAAGGTCGGCAACGCACTCGTAACTCTGTCCCTCGTGTCCATGGGCGGCGCTGATTGCTTACCATCAGGTAATCCGTCTGCTCGTTTGCCGACCAATTACATAAAAAAAAAGTAATTCAGATCTAGTTTATTTTGTTGTTAGGTTATGTAGTATTTTATTAGTTTAACTGCCTTTGTCTTATTGTCACAAATAGGATTGCAGAACAAGCGATCTAGAAAGTGATTTACGAGTGGGACAAAGAAAGACTGAGCATTTTTCAGTTTTTTCAAAATTCTTCACATATGCTATGCTAGCAAGTGTGCAAAGAGCAAAAAAAACAAAACATTACATACAACAATTACTATGTAATTCTAATACATTATAACATTTGTGTTACAGAAGAAATAACACAGGAACTCGATTTCGACCCTGTCCTGGATGTGTTTGTGCACGGCATCAACTCAGTGGTGATGTTTTGTCTGCTGGTCACTTCCCGCCAGCCCACCAGGGTCCTCCACTTCTACGTGCCACTCACCCTTGGCATTGTCTACATGTTGTTCAGCCTTTTGTACTACTTCTTCGGTGGATTGAATCCGTAAGTCATCTTTTATACTTTCATTTTAACTCTTAGGACCTCGGCCCGGCCTAGAGTAGGAGAGGGTACGGAGTGGTTTTTAGTCAGTAAGAATCTGACACTACCCTGGAAGATGCCATTTGATGACTACCTATCCCTCGTCAAATGAACTACAAATTGTTGTAGCGTGTACGTAAGTTGGTTGTTGGTAAACGCACCCAATATAGAGGAGAAAATCTTAACGTCACCGTTTAAGAAGGAAAAGAAAATAAGGTTTCTTTTAAGAGAGTGCAATAAATTTTCTTTTGTGCCTACAACTTCTTTAGTCTTTCAACTAAGCCAATATTTATGTTTTAAAATAACTAAAAAATATTGTGACACGTTGGGGGATAAGCTGACTTGTAAACACTCACAGATGAGCTCATTTATATCGCAAAACTCAATAATTTTAAAATTGGAAGAAAAATACTTTGTAGTACAACCTTTTTTCATTTAATAGATTCTATTGAATAATGGCAAGGCAAAAACTCAACATTATGTGCACTTATACACAACACAGTTCATGCTCATGCACACTCACAGTTTTACTTTAACTCCTACTTTTTTTAACGTTTTCTTAATTGTACCACAGATTCGGCGGTGTATGGATCTATCCGATGCTGGACTGGTCGGAGCCTGGCCCCACAATACTACTTGTGGTAATCTCAGCTCTACTGATGATCGTGGTCCACTTTGTCGTCGTCTCCATGACCTTAATCAGGGATGCCGTTACCAAGTCATGCAAACAGTCCACAGTTCTTCCGATTAGTGATGAAGACAATGGAGTATCCAGAAATCTTTACACGTAGGATAATATGCCAACAACAGACTGAACGTGAGTCACTCTTCGCTATAGTCAGCTCTAGCGATTTCGTGACCCACTCCTATAGCTTTAACATTGTATGTTTTAATGATAATATACTTAAAGTACATTATCGAAATAAATTATTTATGTTATACCTACTATACTTTCATTTATTCTATTTCTTATAGGAAGGAAAATTCCGTAATATTCTGATAATAATTCAATATCAACTACCGGCTTTAGTTTTAGTTTTTATTTGATATTTTTCACTGTTTTTCCCGTACCTACTTCATTACTCGTTCATTCGCAATGTGTAGATTGCGTAGTTCACGCCCAAATCACTGACAGTACCTAGGTAGACACGATAACTTTACATTTTGGCAGCTCGTTTAGATAATATAGTGAGTGATAAACGACTACAAGGTATTGATTATCAGTTCCGTGTTATCGGCAGCGTTGGGCGCGCTGTTTTACTATTACCTATACAACATATAGAGATGAGTGCCGTAAAGTCTTATTTTGTACAAGAATGGAAGGCGAGTATGCTCACTTTGGAGCATCCGAAACCATCTGACTTTTACACGAGTTGTTGGCAAACGACACGGTCGTCCGTACCGTTTTTGATTTGGCGCGCGATCCTCTTCCTCACCGCTCTAGGAATAGTGTTAACCTCTATGATAATATACATACAGAACGGAAGTTTTGGATACTGGTTTATTTATCTAACTCATTGGGGATTGATGAGCATTCTCTTTGCCACTGGATTCGCGACTGCGGTGTCAGCACGCTGTTACCTTTACGGACCTATAAGTAAGTACATAACATTTACTTTTTTTATAAAATTGTTACAATTTACTGTTATGAGACATTATTATAAGACAAAATGTAACCCTTGAATATAAATTCTATTTATATCCCTTATCGATATCTTATCAATAGCTAATTGCTATTACATATGAACATACTTGACCTTGTACCACTGAGAAACAGGTTCGCCAATGAATAATTTTGGAACGCCTGCGTAAATAAAGACTTTAAATGTTTACCTACGTTTTGTGTTTATTGTCCGACAGGCACCGAGTTCAAGTTACCATGGTACGTGAAGATTTATTGGACATTGTTCAATATCGCCACTCCTCTAGCTTTTCTAATCACAATATTCTACTGGACAGTACTTTACGAAGGTTGGTTTTATTTTAAATCAATATCTATTTAACTGCTTTCATCCTAAGAAACAAAATTAAGTGATAACAAGTTCAGATCGCCTGAAAGTTTTCCTTTAGCAGAATATCTCACAATAGACATTTGCTGTTATTTTCTGTTTATAAGTGTAACTTAAAGTTCAACTAAAAGATCCTCTTGTTTTTCGGCATTTAAAAAATTGATAAATTATTTAAACTTTTCAATACAATTAATTATCAAAATTAATACAATAAATACAAAACAATGTATATTATTATGAAAGGTAGGTACTTTACATTCACGATATACTTAATTTTAGACCTTGCTCGTCAATTATCAGGATCAGCCTCAGGGCCAAATCTTATGATAGTCCCCTAGGACTGTTAATTGACTTTATGAAAAGTCTTTTACCTCTAAAAGGCCGGTAACGTGCTGTGGCACTTCTAGTGTACTATTCGTTTGGCGCCCATTCAGTTAAAAAAACAGTCAAATATATGACACTAACATAAGTATACTATAAAGTTTTCTGCTTCTAACCTTCAGCGGGTATCGAGGAGGAGTTGAACCATGGGCTGGACGTGGCAGTGCACGGGCTGAACTCGCTGGTGATGTTCCTGCTTCTCTGCAGCAGTGCTCACCCTGGCCGGCTGCTGCACATCTACCAGCCTCTGGTCTTCGCCACCATATACATGCTGTTCAGCGTCATCTACCACGCAGCTGGTGGTACCGACCAGTAAGTTATTATGCATTTAAAATTTCACACCATAACCTTATCATAATGAGTTGCGGGTAAAACGCAATTATTAACCGCAGTCTTCCGCGAAGCAGAAGATGGAATGCGACGGTTTTTAGTCTTTAAAAATTCTGATACTGCCCGCCACTTACGAGGGGCGAGATGTATAATTGGATGATTTTAGACCCTATCAATAACAAAAACGTCGTTACCATCATAACAGCTATAGAAGCTTCACTGCTGAACTTTGAAAGCTAGAAGATACACCAGTTTATATGAGACTGTATGCCCGACATTTTAATAATATCATTTACTAGCACTCAGGAGCATTGTAGCTATATGTCAGTGAAAGAATTTTGGCAATCCGACCAGCGGTTCCAAAGATTACCCCCTAAATACAAGCTTACAAACTTACAAATTTTACCTTATTATAATATTAAGTATAGATAGACATTGCAGAAATTGGTTATGATATATGACTTCGAGGTTGTGCACTTTCGTTGTGCAAACTGCTGTTTCGCAGCATATCGAGAATTGAATTTTTCCTTATCTGGTGTGATGCGATGTGCTGTGTGATTGCTTTATATTATGAGAGAAAATACAAATATATTGATTAAAAAACACATATCGCACTTGTAATTTCTATTGTGATGGATAGCATTTAAATACACTTCTCATTATCGTCAGTCATCATCGTCACATTAATATATCAAGCATTTTAAAACTCAACAGTATTTGACTGCGTGGTTTGCGCGATGGCTAGGAAACGTGTTGCATGTTCGATTCAACACAGAATAACTCCTTGTGTAATCCAAAGTGACCATATAATTTAGGATTGTGATGAGTTTGTTTCTAAACGTCATCAAAAAATCCCTCCGCCTCCCCTATCCCTTCCCAATCCTTATTTCCGCAACCCTTATCCCCAAAACGCCGGCAACACACTCGTAACTTCTTTAGTACTGCGGGTGTCCATGGGCGGCGCCGATTGCTTACCATCAGGTTATCGGTATGCTCGTTTGACGAATAGTTCCATAAAAAAATCCTAGTGGGGGGCAAAATTTAAGGATAAAACAATTTTGCAAGGGGAAAAGTCTCCAAGGCCTTATTACTTAATACTTATTTTCTAAGAAATATGAGTAATTATGGCCATAATTTAAAATATAAATTCTTCAGAATGACATGATTCATCGAGTTAAAGCTAGGTACCTAGTAGAATCCGGTTCTGAGATTGTCGTCGAGGTCCAAAGGACACGTGTTAAGAAATCATCAAAGGAAATACAACGAACAAAGGAACCAATCACTGCAATTAAATAATTATTCTTCACTATGTATTATAGTAATTACTCCTTATGTACTTACATAAGTAAATTATAACTCTACCGTGTGACCGATATAAATCATATTATGAAATACGGACGGCCATGCGGATTACCTGATGGTAAGCAATTAGCACCGCCCATGAACTTTCGCAAAACTAGACAAGTTTCGAGTGCTTGGACGGTCTTTGGGTGTCAGGGTTTTTAGCCAGGGTTGCGGGTAAAAACCGGCAATTGCAGGCGCAATAGGCGCAATGAGGCACTGGGGCCTCGGCCTAGAGCAGGAGAAGGAACAGGTCTTTTAAGGCAAGAAAGGAGAAAGGAAAACTGAGGAGTTTTCAGTCAGTAAGAGACTGACACTTCTCTCGCCTCGCCCTGGGCGGGATAAGACATTTAATGATTTTCCCCTAATAATAAAAAAAGGGTTTTGAGTCTTGGAACCGGGGAGGTGAGGCAAAGGGAAGTCGTTGCAAGTCCTGTATTGTCCTGATTTTTTTAGGTTGTAGCGAGTTTTTCCCAAAAAAGAAGAATAGTTTTAATTAAGTTTTAAAATATGTATTAACAGATTAACAGTTAGAATGAAACGAGATTTCATTTTTTTTCATAGATATTATTGTTGTCTGATGTTAGTTAATGTTTGTCATATTAACTCTACTACCTTCATAATGTATAAGTTCCCGAGAAAGTCACGTATGTATGTAGTGGTTCATTTACTTTTTCATTTCATATCGTTCCATATTCAAATTTATCTGATACGTACTCAGACCAACGGCAACGGTACCAAGTGGCAATTCCGATATTGAGAAACGAGAACTCAATATCTAACAGGGATTTTCCGTTTCTACTTGTACTAGCTAACTAAGGTTACTCACTAGTTAAGTAAGGAGTCAGAAAGTACGTAAACCAACTAACTACATTTACCTACATATATCAACGTACCTTCATACTTCATAATCCAATAACAAAGCCCATATTATTATAATAATAGCCGAGCTAGTCACCTTTCCATTGATAGTATTATTTTCAAACGTAAGTATTATACTTTTCCCATACTTAGAATACCTCACTATATTGATAATTTCTCAAAATATATTATAACACTTACCTAACAGCCATTTATAAATGTTTAATGTTTTAATGTTTACACACGGTTATGATACTTTATTGTGAATTTATATGAAAACCTACATTGCGATTGTCGGTTGTGGTTATCATGTTGTTTGAAATAAATGGACCATTAAGAACTCATATTTTATAACAGTCAGACTACTTTAGGTACTTTACTAAAACTACTACTAACTAACTGCTTAACCTATAGGTACTTGTTTGTATAAGATTCATTTATTTTATCTGGTCATAAAAGCATACAGATTAGGAGTAATCACTGCTCATATTTAAATTTGAAATAAATTATTGGAAACCTGTCAGACCAAATGCGGATTTAGGTATCTTCTTCAAAAGGGGTTTGTAAGTGCATTCGCAATAATGTTCCACGCCCCCAGCCCGGAGCATGAGAAGGAACAGGGTGGTTTTATGCTGAAAGAGTTCCGATACCACAGCACATCCAACTAGAACGAGCGGAGCGTAGATGATTTTCTCACTCAAAAAATACTAGATATCCACTTCTACCCTTTTCTTCCAATATCTCTCCAAATATCAAAATAAGATACTCATAAGCTGTTACTATTGGCATACTCTTTGTGAACAGCTTTCATGCTCTTGTTGATAACTTTGTGAGTAGCTTTCAAAGAATAGATGAACATTCTTTCGTCATTTCCTCACAGAAAGATATCATCTGAAAAATGCTCATATATGCACAGGTACGTGTACCACTTACCTACCTTTACATCATGGAGCACCTACCCTTCAAGTACCCTCAATCAGATTTTCGACTTAATAAACTAAATGTAGTATTCGTTAAAGGAAGCCAGTTTACCTTGATGAAATGTTTATGTTTTTGGATACCAGGAAAACGTATTGTACCTTATTCACGATGTATTGTCAACAATGAAGCCTGCACCTGCATATTTACAAATAATCCGCTTACACGAATTGACATTCTAAGTGTGAAGTCTCTTATTACAACTGATATTTTTGTTGCTATTTCTTATGGAAGGAAGAAGGCATACAATGCAGGAGAGCCAATCAAACATTTATTTAATTAATTATGGTCAACTAGTAACTGATACATTGTTTCTTACATCTTGACATTAAATACACGATAATGAAGTTAAACGTATAATAACTTTAAGGTTTCACAATACAGAAAGAATATAATTTAAAATAATAGAAAAAGAAATACTATAAAATTGCAAAAAATAAGATTCAAAACAAATCAAAATGAAATAAGTACTTACAGATATGACAAACAAAATGTTACTTAATCCTCGGGTATGAGAATTCAGTTCTCTTAAAAATCTCGAACACATTTTTTTTAATCGTTGTCTTGTCTTCCTCTACACATAAAGTAATGTCTTCATATGCAATAAGTATAGTATTGGATTGAAATGAACTTCGTACATATCATTAGTTAAGTCTCGGTTGAAAAAAATACATTTGTAGGTAGTTTGTCTTATAGCATACCAATTTGCGTTAAACACGGTGATTTATTGTCATAAATGTATGTAACAGTGTACTTATGTTCTTGCTACAAACATTTTAAAACTCACAGAGGATAATAAAGAAAAATGTCGTAATTACGCTACACTATTAAAAAAATCGTCTAGCTTACTTAAAAGCCCAAAATAAATAATAATAATTACTTTTACGTACATAAACTAAACTAAAGAGAGCTTGGCATATAATAAACAACAATAAATCAATATATCTTAGATAAATATTTATGATACCATTTTCACAGATATAGCAGAGGCCTTTGCCAATAGTGAGACTCTTATACACAAGCTTAAAGCTTACGGGCTTCAAGAAAATGCATTAAATTTAAATTTAATCCGTTCTTCCTGATCGTATACAATGTTTTGATATTTGCTTAAATTCAAAACGAGAAATAAAATTCACATTTTGTTATTTTATAGAAACATGAAGTATGGTGTTCTACAAGGTAGCGTCCCCGGTCCACCTATATTTTAAATTTACATAAACAATCTCCCACACCGAATAACCCATTCATCCATATTGTTGGGTGATAACAGTTAATCACAAAACAATGAAATAATATTAACAACACTCTTAAATCTGTCGTTAATGGCCTAATTACAATAACTTTAAATTAAATATACAAAAACTAATACAAAATGAATACAGTAATTATTGCTTACCCTGGATTCGTTATTTTATCGTTATAGTTGTGAAAGAAATAACATTTTCAAAGCCCAGAAACGATGTGTTGGTTCGATTTTTAACTTGCAGGTTTGCAGATTACAGACAGCTTTATCCCCATTTTCAGATTACATAAATTACTAACCTTCCCATATCTGTACATACCAGAAATAGCTACTTGTGCAAAAAAAACAACCCGCATCTGTTTCGACTGTTATGTGAGGTACGAAAGAGGAAAAGCTGTATAATATATCAGTATCAAACTGTATTGCACGTAGATAACTACAACATCACAAAGCGTCATCTTTATGGCTCCAAAGGTATACAACAAGTGGCCAAAAGCTATAAAAACATAACCACTAAGAATGATATAAAATGAAAGAAAATTCTATCTCAGATTTTGTGAAAGATAATTTGTGATAAATAAATTATGTCTGTACCGTTGTCTACCCATAAATAATATATTCTATACTTACAAATAAAAACTTCTTATCCTTATTTTTTTTTTTTCGATTAATAGGTGAATTCTACTCCTTTAGGCCCAATTGACACGTTTAGGGTCAGCAAAATAGATTACTTTACCATTCTGCATTTATTTCAATGTACACCTTCACTCTCAGACAGTATGACAAGGAAATCACAAACTCTTTCATTTTCATTTTTCATATTATTATTACAATGTATCCATATTTTCATATTTTTTTTCTTTTAGGTAGTTCTCCTTTTAGATAAGTATGTATTTTCTACTGTCCTTGTTCTAACCGAAACTCCAACACAATATAGTTTCTAGTCCATCCTTCTATCTATGTTCTACCTTTTCTGTCGTGTGGTCCAAATCTCAAATTATTAAAATTTTTCATATGATCATAATCTATTCTATTTTTGCTTTGGTCTTTTTTTCCTTCCATACTCATTCACTCAGCATATCACGTCATTATTTTCTATTCTTCTCATCACATTTCCTTGTGCCTATTCTCTATAATCTCTATTGTATGCAATAAAATGTTATTGGAAAACGTGCTAAGGTGGGAACTTGTAAAGTTATTAAACATTTCCCCTTCACTTCCATGTAAGTTAAGTGTTTTATTTTCATAGTTTGAATTCTTGGAGTATCATAGTTTTATAAATAAAACGTGACGATAATTAATATTATTAATAATATTTTCTGTAACTCGGTTAAACAATGCATTGAAATCATTTCTGAAATAGACGTATAACTAGACTTCTAAAAGGTATACTTTACTTGTACTAATACTTGCTTTTAAATAATAATGATCATCATCACTATTTCCGTCCAGAGCTTGAGAAAGGCACACACTATCCTATTAAAGAATATCAATAAATCAACAATTAATTACAGATATACCTAACATCATCAATTTATTACAAAAAATCATTTATCATGACTGTTATAGGTATTCACTATAAATTATTATTTATGAATTTTATGTCCTTCATCGCTCTTTTTCCTAGAAAATATCAGTCAGTCGGCAAATAGGTGCTCCGACATGGACTCTTAGTCAAGTATATCGTACCTTATCTTAATAAATACAAATGAATATTGTATTATACATTTAATGTTGTTTCACGTGTACGAATCTTCAAGTAAGCGTGGCCATTTGTAAACATTTTATTTCATATTTTACCTACTTACTCGTGCGTAGTGGCCATTTAAGTAGTCACGCCAAGCACGACAGTATTGCAGAGTTTTTTTTTATAATTATTAGGCAAGTGGCTCTCAAACCTCCTTGGGTTTATTGCATTATGGTTTTTTCATTCACGTCTATCTCCTAAACCTAAATGGAATTGTTAAATGACTTTGAAGTTTTATCCTAATGCAACAAAACAATAATATAATGTTTAATGAACTCTAATTATTATTAAAAGTAATAGCTAAGTAATATTCTTGTTATGCAAATTACAACCATTAAATGGAAATGGTTGTTAGTTGCAGTCTGTAACATTATAGGTACTTAGTAAATATTGACTTGAATATACCTACATGTAAATTGTATGACACGGACACGGACACCGCAGTCCATGGAGAAATAAAATTAACTAAAATTTTGGATATTCACAACATGTTTTATGTTTTACGTACCTACTATGGTAACACAAGCAATTAACATGGTATTCCACATCCAATTCGTAGAAATAATTATGTAACATACTTCAAATAAAATCAACCTAAAACGTATATGGATTACGTACCCACATATGTTGTTGTTTTTTCTGTTTAATGTACAAAATCAATCAACATCATCATATCTGTTATATTATGTTTTACAAAAATCTTCTTCATCTTTTCAGAAAAGGTAACGCCTACATCTACCCTGTGGTGAACTGGTCGGAGCCAGGAACAACAGTGTTGGTAGTGTTCATCACTGGCTTGCTACTGGTGGTGCTGCACCTGGTGACACTTGGTCTATCTGCCTTACGAGACCTGGTGGCTACTCGCTTAATAAACCGTGGCGCCCCGGCAAATCCTAACGAGGGGGTGCCATTGAGGCAACCGGTCTACGCGTGAAGAATGAAGAAATAAGAAGTTTTAAGAACTTTTTATCCTAAAGTACCTATGTGGTGGATTTTGCCAACAAAACTATGAAAAAATATCTGTAAATTATGTTGGAGTACAGCGCGGCCGACGTATCTTGGCGAGTCTGAAGTTAGCCGTTTTTCTGCGAAATGGATCTTTTAGGAACAAAATTGTGTACTGCGCAGCTAATCGGCTAACTTCAGACTCGCCAGATACGTCGGCCGCACTGTATGTAAGCGTCTGGTGAATAGATTGCTTCTTACTTGGCAAACTCCATCGATGGCTTCATTACGCTATCCAGCTATACCAGGCGAGTAAGTAACTAAACGTTGACCTATAAAGAATTGAAAAAACTAAGAATGTATTCATAAAATTTAAAAGGTTAACTGGTAGAGAATGCCATATGGCATTAAGTCCGTCTTTTGTACCAACTTCATTTCATTGTGTACAATAAAGCATAAATAAATAAATAAATAAAATTAGTCTTCCAGACAATAAAAAAGATTAAATACTTGGTACTTAATTGTTTAATAATTTAGTTCGGTAGGTCGTCGATTAATTAATTTATTTGTATAAATACAATATAATAGGTACTTCTGTGAAGTTTTGCATATAAGAAGGATTACTTATCCAAGAAGGAATCCTTCGGTACTATTTTTAGTTGTACCGTCATTAGTACAGTTAGTGTATTTTTGTTGAATGTCACTTTTTTAACTTCAAAGAGAAATTTAATGAAGAAATAATTGTTTTTGTAAACTAATTGTAAACCAATCAATGATGTATAAAACTATAGATACGTTGTCCGCGCTCTAAAATGACAACATGAAATGAAGGCAATTGACAACATCGCGCTTAGTTACGCACCAACCTGCCGCGCGACGCTACGTTTGTTTTTAATTTATATCGTGTGTAAACCTGTGCGAAACACAAAGAAAGCATGTCGTCGTGTGTGTTCAGAAGATGTACAAATTATACTCCAAAAGTTAAAGACAAAAATGTGTCATTTCATGCGTAAGTTCACCGAACAACCTACTTTTATTTTATTTTTTTCGACGCCGGCGCCCGCCATCTTATGGCGGCCGGCGCATGAAGGTATAGTCACGTGCCGTCGGCATAACTGAAGATGTATATTTATCTCCCTCTAGCAAAGGCATTCCACTATACGATGTCATATTTTCTTTCCCTTTCTTTACTCGTAGAAGTAGTTATCTAGTATTTTCGCCGTTTTTAAGCGCCGCGATGTTGGTTCATGACGTGTCTATATATAATACGTCATTGAAACCAATTCTGAGTGCAACGTAACATTATGCATAATCGGAATCCTCTCGATTGCTATATTTATCGCTTTAGTTTCATAAAATATGTAGGTATATAATAAACTTTTGATAATTAAAAATATTGATATTATAAACGTTGTTTCTTTGTTTGCTGAGACTGGCCAAGACAAACCTGATTACCTTCAAGACATCCTTTCTTTAAGCTGGCCATGCATGATGTTAAGGTTAAATACATTACAAGTAGTCAGTTGCTCATTAGCCTACGACAATTGAACTTTGAACCTTTAGTAAATCACCATTGTAATTATAATTCCTTATTCATATAAGGTTTTCCTGGTGGTTTTTTTATGTGATAGAACGGCAAACGAGCACGGATTACCTGATGGTAAGCAATCGGCGCTAACCGGTTAAGATACAAACATATCATAGTTAACTTGTTTGGCAACTCAATTTCGAACTCTTAGCTTTCTGATCAACTCCGTTTTTCCATCGAAAACACGGATTACCTGGACACCCGCAACACCAAAGAAATAACGGGTGCGTTGCTGGATAAGGGTTTCGGATATTTAAGGATTTGGCAGGGGTGGGGAGGGAGAGGGATTGAGCCTTCGATAACCTCCCTCACACGGCTAAACTCAACGCTGTGATTGTTTCACGCCAGTATTCTGTAAGGTCGTAGTATCACTCCGGTTGAACCGCCCCATTCGACCGAAGCATGGCTCTCCCACACATAAATCTAAAAAAGGCAAGTAGTGTGAGTCACAAATCGCTGACCGACTTGATAAGTAATTCATTGAAAACTTGCTTGCAAGCGACCTTGAATCGCATAACCGATGAACACCTGCTGATTGCATGCATACGTGTGTAGCGCGCCTTTTTAAATTTTTTATACTGGCCAAGTATAAACCAAGTATAAGTAGGTAAGTACAAACCAAATTGATAGCTTTGAAGTTTTTAAAAAAGTCGCCGAGTTGAGAGAGAGAAAATGTTTACATAATACGAGGGATAATAATAATATGTATTTATATTATAACATAAATTATTTATTCGTGTAAAGTCTATGTCTTTACCCTATTTAGATGATTAGTATGACTGACATTGATTATTTTCTTGTGTAAGTCTTAAATTAATATGCATTAAATTTTAAGAAGAATATACGAAAAATTGGTAAATGAACCAGAAAAAATAGTTTTTCTACCCCTTAACTACATCTATTTTTGAGGGCAAAAATTATCATTGGGTAGGGCGAGATGTAATCTCAGACTCTGACTAACTCAGCAGGGGTTGCGGGTTTTCAGTCGGGGTTGCGAGGCAAGCGCAATGAGGCACCGCGGCCTCCGCCCGAGCAGGGAAAGAACGAGAGGTTTTAGTCATTAAGAGTCTGACACTCTCTCTCACCTTACCCTGGGCGGGAGAAGTCATTGGATGATTCAAAATTCTAAAAATAAAAATAAAGCTCTGACTGACTAAAACCCACCCCGTCCGTACTTCAGTCCCAGGCCGCGGTAGGTACTTACAAAAACTTTAACTTCACTATTGTTTACACTTACTTAAATTTAGAATGCAAATAATTTAATCGTTTAGAAGTCAAACCAGTTATTTTATAATAAAAAAAGTATGTTCTTAATTATAAAATAATGAAACGCGTGTAATAGTACGTAATCGAAATAAAAAAAAAGTAAACAGCAAACCACAGACGTCAATACAATTAATAACTAGACATAGTGTTTTTGTTCACAATATTTATTACGTAATACTTCTTATAATTGTAAAAAGTTTTGTTCCTTATAAATCCCGCAGAAGTCTATGGGCCATAATTAAAAAAAAAACAATTGAACAACAACCCTTTTAAAGATATTCCTGTTGATTGCGAGGTAAAGTAGCGGTGGCCTTCGCCAAGAATAAGTCTAGTTTTAGAGCACCGAACTTACCTACAATGAAAATTAAAATTGCTTCTTCAATTTTTGAACAAGGATAATTGCAGGCGGTATGCCTCACTAATAATAAATCCAATTGCTTTATTCCATGTTGAAGTTTCTGTTCCTGTAGAAACTTGCTATCTACCTATACTTATACTCACCATATCGAAAAAAGTAATAAATCGATCAAAATATAAATTGAAAGAAGACTCAAGTTATGAATGTGATATTGACATCATGATCGATTTATTTATATTTTATTAGTAGTAGTGGTCCTGTTTGGACCAATGAATTTATTTATTGCCAAATTTTAAATCCTAATTTACAAAATAAAATCGATAATCGTTACGGCCGATTCAAGATTCTATTCAAAACATTGATTCGCAGCGTTGTCCCAACACAACCCAGTTTGGGTTTAGAAAACCAGTAATTACATAAGTGAGGTTATAGTTTACGCAAGTTTAGCGGTCGTGTTGTAGGTGCGCTCGCGCCGCCGTCGTAGCACCAGTCTGCATCCGTACCTGAGTCTGCGCGTCGGCTCTGCGCTCGCGCAACCGTACGTAACACGCGCGCAAATCGTTCGCGTGGTTCAATTAAATTAAATAACTACTTAAATAATAATTATTAGTCATTGCATAAGGGAATGTCACTTAAACTTATCTTATTTATCTGCTTTGAATAGGTTATTGCAAGAGTTAAGTATACTGACAGGATAAGATTAGTAGCGAGATAACGGCCTTAAGACAATAGCTCAATCTCTCGAGACAGTGATACGCGATCAACACTATCTTACGGAATTGAACTTATCGACAGCATACGCGTTTGTAAAACACTGTTAAAAAACGGAAAATGTGTAGAAAAGTATAAATATAGCTTTAAAAAAGTGTCTGTGTAATTAGAAGTGTTGAAAATGGTGAAATTTTATAGAAAAAGTGTTCCCCTATCAGCTCTATGGGTGTCTTCAAACGAGAGGCTGAGCGATTTTTACGCGTCGTCATGGCAACGAGGCGAGTCCCCAATACCTATGCTGGTGATCAGAATATTGTGTACCGGAATGGCACTGGCGATCCTCTCGTGGTCACTGGCCGAGGCTCCCACTCCTTACTGGCTGATTTACCTCACAAACTGGGGGCTGCTGCTAGTTGCAAGCCTATTCTTATGCAGTCTCATAATGTCTTCCATGGCAATATACAACAGATCCTATGGTGAGATATTTAAATTATCTAAAATGATTACTCACTAGAATGGTAGCTAATGTGTTTACTCAACGAATACTGCGAGTCATCATTCATAATATACCTAAGTAAGTAGATACTTAAGTACATAGGGACTCCTAATTACTCCTACACATAACTTGGCAGCGCGCTTCTTAGTACTTATAATGTAGCGCTGCTGCGGCAGGAAAAAGAACGGAGTGGTTTTTAGTCAGTTAGAGTCTGATACTCCGAAGAAGTCATTCGATGATTTACCACCTCCAAAAAGCATGTTAATAATATGTATTACCATGCTTCTATCAGTAATAATCTCACAGAGGGTTAGTTATCTCTCTGAGTATAAATCAGAAGGCTTGCTATTGACTCAGATATTGACTTACCAAAATACCTAAACTTATGTATATCTTAAACAATATTAAGAACATTGAACCCGGCTACTAGGTAGGAAGGTATATATTTTATGGACCCATCAAAGTAAATCTGAACATCATTTTATTAAAAACGAAAGTATCTATTAATAAATTTACAATAGAAAAAACTTCTAACAATCTTTAATAATTAAAGATTGTTAGACGTTTCATTTCAAAACTTTTTATACATATAAAAATAATTTTATTGGTCCTAATGTCGTAGAACAAGCTGTTCTTAAGTAACATCAAAAGTTCCCTGCTTCTAAAAAAATATTATGAATTACGTCGTTTCGGCAGGTGCCATAATTCTTCCATAGTTCCCATCATAGCAGTCCATAGCAGGGTTGCTATGCTATGAGTGTTTTTTTTTTGTGAGGGGAAAATCATAAATGACTTCTCCCGCTCAGGGCCGGGCAGGAGGGAGTGTCAGACTCTTACTGACTAAAAACCCCCCTGTTCCTTCTCCTGCTCTGTGCCGACGTCGCGGTGCCTCATTGCGCTTACCCCGCAACCCCGGCTGAACATCAGCCCTTTAGGGCCCCATCTGTGGTGGTCTAATGACTCTTTGGGTCCACCCATAGCCTTGTCCCTTGTTTCGATTATCCGCAATAGTCCTACACTAACCGAGGACTGTCCTTGGATGCATTTCCATAATAGGAACAGGGATAGTCGCCGGTTTGTTTCCCATTTCATTTAGATTAAAGTTGTCCAAAGGGCCAGGACGGTAATCATCAATACCCATGTGTATCAATCATAATGTACAATTAATCATAATGAACTACAGGATCCCAGTCATTTGGGAGGCAAATCAGACACCGAGTCCAACTGCGCAAAGGCCCTTCAGACAACTTTAATTTAAAAAAAAACTCTACTTAGTTTTACTCTATCGTGAATAAAAGTAATGAAAATGTTACGGTTTCATTATAGGTGTCATTATACGCCTAATAGCCATGGGATTAGAGCCACTTTGTAAGTGTGTTGAAAATATTTTTACTTTATATAGGCACCTACGTAAGTGCACGATAACTAAACAACTACAGTTATTAACGTGCTAAAAGTATTTTATCTATCACAACATTATAAATACCTAAGTTGTAAAATTACTATCAGTACCTAAGTTAATATATTATGCAACTGAACTTTAACCGTAAAACTAAGTAATTGTTTTATCAATGCATCTGGGCTACAACAAAGTGTAATCGACCTTATGTAGGTAGGACAAGGATGTAAAAATCATTTTAGTTTTTTAAATCATAAATTATATATAGATAAGTACCTAAGTATCATGGATTTTTTTTTATGAACGTTGGTATGTAGGTATTGGCTATGTGCAAAGCGAGTAGTGGCGGACAGATAACGACCGCAGCGCACAACACGGCAGGAATTGGAAACAAATGCGGATGATCAGCTATCGGTTTTTTTATTATTATATTCATTTTACAGCAAAACTATTCAATAAATTGCACTTAAATAATGTCAACAATACTATTTTAATCTTTAGTTTTATTTATATTTGCAAAGAAAATTATACCTAATGTTTACATTGCTATTATTTGACAGCTTCCGCAAATGTTGTAGGTAAACGCTACGCGTCGCCACCGTCGCGCACATACCTAGCCACTTCTTTACGAACGTCTGTTTTTGCTTTTGATGAGAAACTAAATTAAATTGTAGTTCGAACCTCCAAGGCTCACGGTCTTGTTGCTTCTTTTAACCTTCAATTAGCAAATGAACACGTAAATAATGTTCTACAAACCTAAAAAAGCACTTTTATAGCCACTTGCTCAATAACGCTATACATATTTGACGGCTAGTAGGTAATTAATTAGCTAATTACATTCAAATGCATAGAAAACATCCTTGTTCCTCAATTAATTGTTCACAAGCTCTTAAGACTAGTATAAACAAAGGCAATTGTTCTCTAAGCAAACTTCGGTAAACAATATTTTCTTCTAATTCATTTTTTTATGAAGTTGGTCGGTAAACTATCAGACGGATTACCTAATGGTAAGCAATCAACGCCGCCCATGGGCACCCGCAATGGAGGAGTGACGAGTGCGTTGCCGACCTTTTAGGGATTAGGGATTTGGAGATTTAGGGATTGGGGAAGGGAAGGATTTGGCCTCCGGTAACTCAACTCATACGGCGAAACACAACGCTGTGGTTGTTTCACGCCGGGTTTTTTGTGAAGCCGTGGTATCGCTCCGGTCAAGCGGACCCATTCGTGCCGAAGCATGGCTCTCCCACACTACTTAGGTATTATCTTATTCTCATTATTGTTGTAGATTCAATATCTATCTAAAGTTACATATTGTTCTTGAAATCCATGCTAATAACACAGTACTTAATAATTACCTAATTTATTTTGTGTATTTAGCATGAACGAAGATCCAGGTGTTTATTTAAGCTATAATATTTTAGTTCATAGTATTATGTAAGTATAGTACCTACCTATATCTAATTGTTAGCAACTCCTCACCCGCAGACAAACCGATAAACTGATTTTCTGTGAACTGTGCTATTTCTTATATTATTGTGCAGAAATTAGTAAATAATAATAAGTTATTCCTAGATTATTTCCAAAAAAACAAATCGACGGAATAGCACCTATAGGTACTTATTGCTGCTTTAATTTTGTATCATAAAACCAGTCGACACGTCATTAAACCGGTCTCGATAGGATCAGCTGATGAAATAAAATTAGCCAACAACACTTTCTAGACGTCTTCGTCATGTGCGGCAGTTTATTTGTGTCGCAGTAACCTTTTATTGAGATCCAAGTCCACACAATTAAAAAGGCAACATTAAATTCTCGGATCGCGAAGACTCGAGTTACATAAATAACATTCTTAAAAAAATAATTGCTTGGTAACTGGTATGATACCTACGTATTACCTATTGTAGCTTGTTGATAGGTGATAGGTGTGTTTATGGATAGCCTCGTCCGCAATTTCATTCGTTCGATTCTTTATATTGTTCTTGTATTGATTTCGAAAATAATTTATAGTATCTACTAGAAGCCGTTACCAACACAAAATGAAAACACCAGTCGCATTGGTAGATGCCAACTACATAAGTGTTGGCTAACTTAGGATAATGCCATACTTATACAATTTTACCAATATCATAAACAAGTAAGTATGAACCTAACTCATAAAGGCGGGAGCCATACTTTGTCACAAATTGCCCGGCTCGACCGGACCGGAGTGATACTAACTACGGCCTCACAGAATAACGGCGTGAAACAACATAAGTATATGTTGAGTTGTGACGTGAGTCTACGTGAGTTTACCGAAGGCCGATTCCTGCAACCGTTCAACTCTCCAAATTCCCAACCTTAAATCCCTAACAACCTCCAAAAGACCGGCAACTTACTTGTAACTCCTTTTGTATTACAAGTGATCCAATTGCATAACATAGGTTATCCCTATTTCTTAGCAGTAATACGCATATACTTACATACATACCTAGATATTTATCGAAATGTACACTAAAGTACGCGTCCACAAACGCTTAGACGGTACACAATAACCCTATTTTCTGTTGGTAATACCACCATTGCAAAACTGAGGCGGTAGACTTCGTTGATGTCGTAATTTCCACGAGGCGATGTCGACGTCGTCATCGACTGGGACGATCCCATGCGCAACATAACATTATGACACAGAACACAGCTATCAGAAACCATTAGAATGCCACCAACGTAACATTATGTTTATTGAAGTCGAATTTGTAAATTACCATTTATACTTGACCTTGTTCATTGAAATTGTTTTTTGTAATTTGACACAGATTTTTGTATAAGGGGGGGGGAGAGGAATCAGTTAATGACTTTTACAAACCTGGGTAGAGGGTGTCAGACTCTTAACTAAAAACCACCTCGTTTCTTCTCTTACTTTGAGGCGGGGCCGCAGTAGGCGCATGCAAGAAACCCCAGCGTTTTTCTTTTCATGTGTTTTATGAAACTTCTCGATCTTTTGCTTTTATTTTTTCGTTCATTCCAACCAAATAAATAAACAAACCCTTAAGCTAGGCTAAGCTATATAATATTAAAGTTAAAATTATCTTATAGGTACCTACCGACAGATCAAGCCTCTATACATGTTTGCCTTACTGAGAACTTAATTACGGTCACTTACAGGCAAAGTAAAAGGAGTTTTGATATTGCATCGTTATTAGAGCACAGAATGATGCTGCATTCGTAATTATGCCGCGCTAAGTTACGTAAACACCTAATTAGCAATAATTGACACTTCTTGTAGATAACTTTCTCGTCTATGCAACCTTTAGGATGGAAGAAAAACAATCAATACGTCTACAGAAAACGCGGTCTAAAGACTAAGTCTAATGTAGATAATCTCCTGTGTGTGGTGTGCCATGTGCTATGGACCTGTCATTGTTCAAGCAAGACCAGCGCTAGCGAGAATGTCTTGCACCATTGCAGCACAAACGAGCAATTAGATCACCTGATGGTAAGCAATGAGTGCCATCCATGTCGTCCAAAGTTAGTGCGTCCTCAAACTCGACCATCTATTTATTAAATGTGTTGTCTTAATCCGCAAAAAGTATTAGCCTGAACCAAATATTTCCTTATTGTGAGACAGAATGGAAGTGACTTCAAGCTGAAATACATACTATTACATACGCCCATTTATAATTAAAACTTTTATTCCAAAAGAGTTTATCTAAAAATAACTCTCGAACTGTCGTCCACAACACGTTGTACCTTGTTAACGGCAGTTAACAAGGTACAACGGCAGTTTAAGCGTAAAAAAGAAAAAACCTTTTGAGTTAACATAGTGAATTGTTAGTGTGTTATCCAGTAGGTATAGTGACCAAACTACCTGTAAAGAACACAAGACCAAATTGTCTTCCCCTTAATAGAGACAATGAGAAAAGTGTACAAATTTTTAAACTATAGGCTCCCCTAGCAAATTAATTCAAAGCTGAATTAGGTGGTATTTATGCTATATTGTAATTTTTATGATGTAGCGGTATGAGGAGATATTATCTAAACAAAAACGAAGCGGCAGTTTGTCAATGTTTGTCTTGACCTATCCATGTATATGTTTTCAGAGACAAAGAAGCTGCCATGGTATGCCAGCCTGTACTGGGCGGTGTTCAACGTCAGCGTAACCATCTCCATCATGATCACCGCGCTTTACTGGCTACTATTATACAATGCTAGTACGTTTAAACTTTAAACACAATATTTTAAAAACTAAGCCAACTTTACCTTTGTTGGTTGTACCTGTCTGTGACAAAGCAATTATTATAGTTCCCACTGCCGTCTACATTTCCTGTTGTCATCAATTGTATAATTAAGATCCATTAGCTTCGGAAAATTGAGGAGTTTGGATACTTACCTATTGCTGTGTTCTGTTGTTTGAACTTATAAATTTATGATGTGAAAGTCAAAGTCAATACCTACCTACGTGACTATAAATAAAATTCATCGCTTCAATGAAACTTTCAAAATTATTTCGTAGTTCCTATATTAAAGTGCAATTCAAAATTTCAGAAGTGCGTGAGGTAGAGACACGTGCATTCTGGCTGGATGTGTCAACACACGGTATCACATCGTGCTTGGCAGTTATCGAGCTGTTGTTGTCGCGAACGCCGGTTCGATTCCTGCACTTGTACCAGCCACTCAGCTTGGGACTCTGGTACGCTGTCTTCTCCTGCATCTACTACGTGGCCGGTGGCACTGATGCGTAAGTAACCATTCAAATAAAACTTGCGTGTTGTAATAATTTGAAGTTAAATTATAAATCTAAATAAGTTATCTGAATAGTATCTTTCGTGATATCTGAATAGTATCGTCGTTATTGAAAATAACGACTAACCTACTTACCTACGTAAATGAACCGAGAAAAGCTCTACTAGTTTCAAATCACAACGGGACTCTTATTCATAGTATCAAACTGAAGTTTTTCACAGTTCATTCAATTAGCATTCGTTTGTTCATTATAGAACATTTTTTTATAAAATGTAATTACAACCAACTTGCCGTTAGGTAGGGACTTGAACACATGGGCACATATCATCTATAGGTAGGTACTTATACCCATCACTCAGTGTTGCAAAATACAATGCCTTAATAAAAAGCCATTGAACTTCGATTTTAATCGGAGTTTACCTACTTACATAAGTATTTCAATGGTATCAATAAAGTACCTTCATTGTAATACAAACTATAGTTACTACTTGTATATTATCTAAACGTATGTAGATTCTTAGGTATTAAATACACGTAGGTATCTAACCCTAGAGCTCAGATACCGACTACAAAATTATTTTAAGCTACCCGGTAACGCCGTATATGTCGCTAGTTCCCAGTAAAAAATAAAACTCAAATATAGAAAATTGACAATTTTCTTTCATATTTGTATGTGTATAATATGTAAAGGTAAATAAATAATTAACTCTTAATTGGATACTAAAATACCTTGATTGGCAAATCAGCTAATACCTTATAGGCCTAGGCAAATTTTTAATGTTTTGTAGACTAGGTAGGTACTTACAAAGAAATTTAAAATACCGTAAAATTGAAAGATTTGTTAACCTGTAATGCTTATTGGCAATACTTACTCTCAAATCTTATATAAGTTTAGGTACTTTACAGTACTATAGCATTTTTAGAAGTCATCTGTTTTTTGACGAAATGTAGAGTTGGCTGGTTTGCTATTTAAGGTACCTAGGTTTATTATTGGGATCCCAAGTTTGAGCAATTCTTATTGATTTGTTTATTTTATTGGAAGTTGCGATAGTAATACCTCCTAATTTTCGAAGCTTTTCAGAATGCAAGTGAACACAAACCTTTCTTTTTCAGAAACGGGAAACATTTTATCTACGAGATACTGGACTGGTCACAAAGCAAACGTGCAGGCATCATAGTCGTAGCGTCAATGGCAGGTCTCATCATAGTGTATGCCGTCATTTGGGCCATCGCATTGTGTAGGGATAAGGTGTCTACACTCTTAGTACGTACGACTAGCCACGACCTGCCCCCTGCACCGCCCGACAGACACACGGGAATCGTCTGAAGCTATTATATCAACACATTTGAGGAGACAAGATAGAAACCTCGTTAGCCTCAACCTACAACGCTACGTGGTAACAGAAATATGCATTTCATGGGAAGTAATATTCGTAATTTTATATTTTGATGCTAGACCCGTTGTGGTGATTATTTACATATCCATGACATATTTTTCTTTGTGTGATGTGTGTGTTAAACCTAGAAATACCAAATTATGTTTTAGTTTTTATACAAGCTTAACTAATAGATAAGTGAAGCGAAGCTACAAATGTACAAATCAATTGTTTACCGACGTCAGAATAAACAAAACTTTTTCAGCAATAATTTTATTACTTTTTATCAACTAATAAATTTATTGTTACTCTACGCTCTCAAGTCTGACGTGGGTAAACTGAGCACAGTACTTATCTTACGAAGAAACCTTCCATTAAATTTTGTCGAAAATTGAATTGGAAGGTTAATTTCGTTTTTAAAACTTGTATTACGAAATATTATTCAATGTAAATATGTTTTATAAGAGATACTGATATTAAAACGTATTTGTGTGTGAAACTGCTCCTTATTTATGGTTAACAAAATAAAACACCAGACCTGTTACAAAAAAAACATTTATTAGGTACTAATATATATAGCAAAATCTACAATTAAACACAAAGCAACCAATTAAAACTATGATTAATATAACAAACTAATATTGATATGTGATTAATTTAATTTGACTTAGTACATCTATACTGTGCAGACTGTGATAGCAATATTACACTTTTTCCAGACATATTTAATTAATTAAACAAAACAAATATTAACAACCAAAATAAAAACTCGTTTATAAAAATAAATTTTGAAATACATCTACATCCAAGTATACAAATTTCAACAAAACGATATCATGATCATAATTTGGACAACAGTCTCAAAAAATAAGCAATCTCACATTACCTTGTATATCCAAAAATATAACTTCTTATATACAATCAGTAGGTACGTTGTTACACTAAATATGAGCTATCATCATCACGCCACAAGACACTGGTCTGTTCCCTGAGGGCCGGTCGCTCGTACTACCTTACTCCTACCGGTCGCCGAACGAGTCCGCTCTAAAGTACTGCGTATCACCAGCAATTATACTCGCCTACATCACCACTGTAACAAATCTTACTTTCTAAGTAACATGCTTCAATCAACAACACCGAGTTCTTAACCCAACGCCAAGCGAAACAATTTTGCCAACCAACTGTCTCCTTGCACAGTTATTAATTGTTATTACATAAACAAACACACATTATTACAAACATCCAGTTAATATTATTATCTTAATCAATTCTTAAACCTAAAAGGCATTTCCAGAGATCATAACTTACTATCGAAAAGAGTGAGCAAAATTTACCCAATAAGTAGTTAAAAATTTTAATATCGTAACATATTCTTATAGGTAGATACATTAATGGAGTATATAATTAAGAAAAGTTATAGTAACTAGAGAATTTATTACTATTTAACACTTGTGATGTATCATTGCTAAACACATGAATCGATCGTCGGACTAGACATTATTACCAGCTAGCCCGAGGCCACATATTTAGCAAACATCGCCTAACACGTTACGAACGAACAATAATATTGTACATTTGATCCTCGAATTACTAACTAGTTTGTAAATTGATTATCCGGAAGCCAATCGAATGTTGAGAATATGGAGCCCAGTGGGCCCAACTCAACAAATACACGCTACAAGTATTGGTATAAGACATCAAGTATTATATAGATAGTATTGCACCTTAAGACTAAACATCATGTCTTTCGTATATAATACACCATAACAACACTTTTCTGGTATATATAAACATTTTTGAGATCATCGACAGTTGACAAATACATATATTCAGACTTTGCACCACAACTTTCAAGAGATACTTGCGTCTTGTTTTTGAAGTAAATTTATGTTGTTTTGTTGTAAAAATTTGATGATAACAAAGTACTGATTCAGTATAAACTCCGATGAAATACTTACTGAAATGTACCTGACAACATTATCACTCAGAGTGATATAATAATAAAAATAGCTTAACGAGGGCGCTTTTATGAATATGCCACTTACTGAGTAACGAATTTTTGCCTCTACTGGATGATAAGGGAGGCAATCTTCGACCATCATGAATAGTCAAATTATTTTAGTCACAACGGCATTTGACTTGAAATTAATGAACTCGTTCAAATAACAAAGCTTATAAGGCGTTTAATTTCTTTTAAATGCCTTATAAGAACATGATGTGCGATGTGTGCTTAAACATTACAAAAACATTATATAAGTAGGTACTGGCCACTCAGAACGTGGTACATTCATACAGCGCCCTTCTATAACAACGCATGGCCTGCAGACCCAACAAGTGACCCGACGTTAGGGTACAATTATGTGAGCTCCTCGCCGTTCATGAGGAAAACCCGGAACGAGGATTCGTCCGTAGCGCCTTCGTACATTAGCTCCTCCTAAGCAACAATACACAATATATATAATATCATACCTACTAACTTTCCGCCCATGACTTAAAAACATATAATAATTAAAAACCTTTCTCAGGTATACCCAATCTTTTTAGTTTATCGTGTTATGTTCTCTAAATTATAATTATATAAAATACTAGGTGACCTGGCGAACTCTGTACCGCCTCAAATATAACTATTTGTTTTATTGGCTTTTTTAAACCTTCCCTGGACTTCCACGAATAATTCAAGACCAAAATTAGCCAAGTCGGTGAAGACATTGTTGAGTACATTACAACGAAAAGTGGCATTGATTTTTATACATAGATAAGCGTTATATATGTGGTATCGTCTGTCAACATACCTGCATGAGATCAATGGTAGGATGCGAGTCGATCAAGCACAGATCTGTGTCTAGAGTCCCAGCCTCGCTGCTTGACAACGCCGTGCTTACAATTTGCCTGCAAATAATCACAATCGAGTAAATTTATTGAAAATAAGGGCTTAACATTGTGAATTAACTTAGAATAGCTCTACTAGTTTCAAGATACAACAAAGACTCTATCAGTTGCAACTATATTCCTAACATATTTACGTCAAAAACACTTCAAAACTAGATGTATAAGCATCGATCACTAATAAAGAACTAGATACACAATCCCATACAAAAGTTCGCTTCAAAACTGTCGTCAACTGTATTTAGGTACTTATACTTGAAATAAACATGCATTAATGTAAATTAAACCTTAAATGCAACTCATAGAGTTGTTTTCACAAAGTGATATACAAAATCTAAACATTTTTTGCATAAATCATAAGAAATTGAACCATATTCGCATGTTCTTAAGTCGAATTTACAATGTGTCAAAAATGAGCAATAAAATTTTACGACCTCGGCTCACCGCTAGGACAAAGAATGATTGGAGTCGAAATGTCTCGTAATAAATATATTTCTTTCAAATTTTTTTTGATAATTTATAAAAAAAATACTAAAATTAAAACGCATTACTTATAGTATTATTTTCTATAGGTTTGTTCATTTATTTACCAATGAAACTAATGCATATAGTTATATTTTTTTTCTATTTTTTTCGTCCTCCTTAATCCTTCCTAAATTTGGAATATTATTCAAAGTATAAAATAATAATATACTTTGAAAAATATTCCAAATTCGAAGTCAAATAAAAAAGATGTAAAATAATAAAAAGAATATATATCTAAAGTAAGTACTGAAAATGTTGGCGTTATTGTTGTCAATTTTTCATATCGCACGGGTTTTTTGATGAAAGCTAAAAAAAAATGTCTTTACTGCACTTAAAATTAAATCCATTATATCTGCCTATTCCATATTTTAATAAACACAGTAAAGAAGTATAATATTAAATAAAAACTATTTTTTAATAAAAAAAAACAATAAATAAAATTAGAAACAATAGCGTCTCCGCTAAACGGAACAGAATCAATCCACGTAAACCGAACAACTTAAGTGGTCATGCTAGAGAATGATTTTACGTTTAGTATAAGTGTCTTTATAAACTGTGTGCATTATAACCCCGGTTTTTGAATACGATTTCATTTGGAAAAAGTTTTAAAGTTGATTTCTTAATAAAATATCAATATTTAAAATAGAATGATGACAATTATATAATGATAATATTATTACTTAACGAAAATATGAAATTCCATAATTTTTTGCGTCTTAGATGTGTGTTTTTTGCTGTTTTTAAACGAGCACTGAGGCGTGTTTACCGTCGGAGCATTCGAGTGGTACTAAACTAAAACTACACCGCGATGTTGAGTTTGTTGGACTTTCAGTTAGGACATTTTTTTGTCACTGATTGTGTATCTAGTTCTTTATTAGTGATCGATGTGTATAAGTCAAAATTTTGAAACAACAAAGTAGGATTGGCTATCTGTGAAGCTGGTGCTTATTTCAAAATATCCATTTCCATGGAGAACGAGCGAAAAAAATCCTTCACATTTTAGTATATTGTACTAGCTGTTACCCGCGGCTTCGCTCCCGTCATTTGACTACCAACACTACCCAACATTGTTACCTACCTACACTACTCTTCCTACCCTTCACTACCTACTCTACCCTACCCTATGTCTTTCACCCAGTTCTTAGTTACCTCCCTTCCAATTTTCTACCCAATCGGTTCAGCCGTTCTTGTGTTATAAACAGTGTACTTACACATATATAGATTTTTTGTATACTTACTGGCTATCCTCGTCGATAGGTACGTTGCCGTGAAGGAAGAGATCGCTGCGGACAGTGTATACGTCGTTAACTGAACCTTCTATTCGCTCCACCTGAAAAAAAAAGCATTTCTTTAACTTTGTCATTACGAATCATCATACACTAATCTTATTGATTGTTCGCCGTTTTACGACACACCCTGGTCTAGACATTAAACTACTGTTTTTTCTTGTTAGGTTAACAGACATGTTGCATATGGAATATACGTCAAATTATCAACCATAGTAACTAAAACAACTGAAACAGAGCCCTATAATAATTTTCCTATAAATAATCAGATTCGTTGAGGGCTTAAGAACAGATGTCGTATAGGTCCTGATTATTGCAGAAAAATTAGACAACACAAAAAATTAAAAGCAAACTTGATACTATAATGTCGTAACAGACCTGAACATCATCATCGAGTACGAGATGCGCATGCGCACGCGGCAGTGGCCAGGTGCAGTGCGTGCGCGCGGCGTGCCACTCCGCGCCCTCCCCCTCCTCGCCGCCCCCTCCCCCGACGCCCGCCTCCACTCCCTCGTCCTCCACACAGTCCCCGCTCACACCCTCCACTGCTAACTGGTCCGCATCAAGCTCACAGCTCATAGACGAAACATCTCTAATTGACTCGTTCTCGTCCACAGTATGCGTACCGGGCAAATTTACCTAAAATTTAAAAATACACATATTTTTACTAGTTGTCGTGGTGGGTTCGGACCTTGGCAAGTTCCAATGTTACTTTTCCGAGTTATATGTACTTGCTATGATTATTTAAACACCACTGATATACGGTGAAGCACAAACAATTCATGATGAAACCTGGACTTATAATTTCTAATTTTGTTTGAAAACGCCAATCCGCCTTGTGAGAAGAGGTCTTTGTTCAGCAGCGGGCAATTATAAGCTGATGATGATGATATTCTAACTACACATACACACTAATATATTTTGTTATGCCTTGAATCTAGTACGCACCAAGTAAACGTTTTCCCCGTTGAGATTAACGGACTCAGAGGTGTACTGAGCGGGATCCTCGACGATAGAAGCGACCGCGTCGTTCTCAACCTTCCTATGAACTTTCTTCATGTGCATGTACAGGGTGCTCATGTTCGTGAAAGATTGTTCACAACCTGATGAAGAAAACGAAAATATGTACTTTGAGATAGTACTTATTATTTATTTACTCTTTATTGTATATTGTATTGTGTCGACTGCACGGTTGGTGCGGTGGCTGGGCAACTGGCTGCCGTACAACGTGTCGCGGGTTCGATTCCCGCACACCAGAACTCTTTGTGTGATCCACAAATTGTTCTTCCGAGTCTGGGTGTCATGTATATGTGAAATTGTATGTTTGTAAACGCACCCACGACGAAGGAGAAAATCCTAGTGTGGGGCAAAAAAATAATGTACACCATACAAACGTTCACGAAACGCCGACCCTCACTCTTACCACACATTGCATTTCATTATTATTTAACTTACATTAGCAGTATAATTATGTGTTAGAGAGCCATGCTTCGGCACGAATGGGTCGGCTCGACTAGAGTGATACCACGGCCTCACGGAAAACATATACATAAGTATGAAATTTAATGGGATATAACATACCGGGATGCGTGCATAGATGCGCAGTGCGTGCGTGTGCCTGGTGGTGCCTGGCGCAGTGGTCCCGCAGATGCTCGCGGCGCAGGAAGGCGCGGCCGCACGTGGCGCAGGCGTGGCGCCGCTCGTCCGTGTGGCGCCGCGCGTGACGGACCAACTTACTCGCTGAACGAAACGCCCAACCACACTCCTACCACACAATGCATTGTAATACTTGGATCATCTCCGACAATTATTATTGTTACGTGCCTGACGTCACGTTCCTAACTATGCGGGCTTGGGTTACGGGATTGGATGAAATTAAACACTAATACCGGTTTTCAGACTTTCTATTGCACTTAAGTGACAGCGTCCACGGATACGGATAAGTTATCGGCGTTCCTCTCCAGCAGAGTCCGGCCGACTGACACAACTTTGCCGTTCACTGTTCACGCTGACTTAACTCACTTAACTGACTGCACTTCACTATTTCACTGTACTTCACTATTTCACTGTACTTCACTATTTCACTCACTTTTCTTCTTTTCACTTCTTCCTTTTCTTCCGAATCGCTTTGGACTTAGAACTCAACTGCCAGCGGTGAGCCGCAGTTCCGCTTATATACCCCCGGTCAGGTTCTAGAACATTCAATTTCGTTATTCTTTTTGATCGTCATGCCTCCAGAACCTTCCAATAATTTCGTTATTCATTTTTATCTATTCTCCTTCTCGCTCCTTAATTTTTCATTACTTTCACTCAAATATTCCAGAAAGTTCGACAAAACTTCCATCAACTAAAAAACTTCATGTTTACGGCGGGACTCGAACTCGGGGTCTCTGTGGTGTAATCCACACGCCTTACCGATTACACCAACTCGTGTTGACAATTCACGACGAAATTTACAATCTCTAGGCAACGTTTGACAACCATCCATTGACGTCATGATGTCAAAGAGTTTTCTGTCACATTATTTAAGTAACGGTAAAACGGGTCGAATCGAATTCGAGGGGTGAATAGATACTAAGAAAATTAGCCAACATTATTCGCCACTTTCGTGTATCTATTCACCCCGTTTTACGTAACTTAATAGTTTTTGATATTGATAAAATTGATAAACCTTCGATGTAAGTACATTTGGTACCCGGGTCAATACAAATAAACAGGTTCGGATATGGAACGAGCACTTTGGAACGATCAAATAACTTCACTATAGAACAAGCGGACAGACTGACACGCATAAAGTTAAAGCTTCATATTTTTTTACTTTTTTATTTGGCGTTCAAAGGTGCCTGCTGTGATCTATAAATTATTTTGACTTTTAGTTTTTTTGACTATGTGCAAGGATACAATTAACAAAGGAATAATAAATGAGTTATGATCACAGAACAATGATATAAAACTATTGTCGAAATGCCAAAGGTTTACGTACAGGGTAGCGGCAGAGATAAGGTCTGTCTCCAGTGTGCGCCCGCGCATGTTCCCTGAGCCGACAGGGCAGGCGGAACACGCGGCCGCAGCCGGGCCAGGCGCAGGCCAGCCCGCCCCGCGCACACACCGACGCGCCGTGCGCACGCAGACCTAGCGCCCAGAAGAAACGACGCCCACACACCATGCACCTTCACAAAAATTAGTTACTTAATTATCCGCTAATCTAAAAACGAATTGCCCTAGACATTGTGAATAGGTAAAACATTTAGGATATGTAGTCGCTTCAGATCTGCTTAACGACATGGATATAGAAGGAAATAAAAATTTTAGGAAAATTAAGTCAATTTAAACCTAATTAATCATCAGAAAATGGCACAAAATTACCAGTTGTTTTATGAAATATAAAAAGTGAGTGATGTTTTACTCTCAACCAGTGATTTCTTTAATATAAAATTTTAGTTAGCTGTCCAAATAAATTTGAAAGTGTGTCAAGCAATCTGGATCAAAATGGATAAATAAAACACATTAGTTTTATGCATACCTGTGCTGAGCTTCATCAATCGTATGATCCTCCTCCAGATGTTTGAGCAGGTCACTCCTCACTTTGTAGGTGCGAGGACACTTCTCTTCAGTTCCATCCTCAGCTACTTTCTTCACAGGACATTCGTATGTCATCTGCGTCGGCGGCCGATATACAGGTCGGTTGTGCGAATTCTTATGCTTTCTCAGTTTCTCTTCACTCCAAAAGCCTTTATTGCAATTAGGATGGTCACACTGTAGCAGAAATACAAAACAAATCTTGTTTATTGAAGGTTTGGTTGGGGGAGGTAAAAGTTGTTCAGTTATATCTAGAAAAGGCGAGAGTGAATTTAATATATACTTAAGAAAGATTATAATAGGGGAACCTAGTATGCTTGCTCAAGCTTCATAGAATATTTTAAAGACTTGGTGGAAAGAAAAATTGGTTTAATGACATTCCCTCTGGAGGGGGTAGGGGAAATCGAGACCTTAAAGCTGCCGATTGGTGAGGTGGGATTGACTGAGTAGGGTAGAAATGAGATTTATATCTTAATGCAGATTTTTTTAATGTTCTTTTAAACATTAAATCGATTTGGGGTAAAGGGTAGACACCATAATCTAACGAAACTGTTTTAGTTGGTTTATTTTTAAAACCCCAGCCTCTATCTTCATTAGGTACAAGTGTGATGGGTATATTCAACAGGATACCCCTGTTTGTTATTTGGTGTGTACAGGTACTTAATGAATTCTTAAGCTTGACTACTATAGTGTTATTCTCATACATTGAATGTTGCTATTACTTAAAAAAAGAATTTAGTACTATGGCAGAACATTAATAGCAACAATTATAATATGATTGAAAACGCTGATGATATGATGATGCTTTTTTATTTTGTTTTTATGTAAGGGGAAAATCATCCAATCATTTTTCCCACCCAAGGTCGGGCGGAGGAGAGTGTCAGACTTACTGACTAAAAACCCGCCCGTTCCTTCTCCTGCTTTAAGCTGAGGCTGCAGTGTCTCATATATGATGATGCTTTGGATGATTATTATAATTAATAATTAATTAAAGGTAATAATAACAAGTCTTACCTTAAACTTAACAGCTCTATTAGTGTAGCAGTCAACAGCTACTGTTTGAGTTGGTTTGGTTAATGTCATCAGGTCATGAACTACCTTTGGTTGTACATCAGCAGGCTCTGATGCTGTTAATCCAGTTGAATCACTATTCTCTTGTAATGGTTGCTCTTTGTCTAAAAAAATATTATTTTTATAGTTTTTAATTTTTTATTAACATTAACCAATTAAATAGTTAAGTAAATAGTTTAGTTTAGCATTTATCATTGCACAAAGTAAACTAGAAAAAATAAGCTTTTGTTTGTATTACTAATGCTTTATAAGCTATTGTTTGTATTAATGAAAACAAACACAAAATTAAAGATTTTTAGTTTTAAGATATAAGCAGTTTGGTATATAATACATTGTGTATACTTACAGTTATTTATAATCATATCTCTGGAATTGTTAGTTATGTCGAAGCACCATTTGCTTTTACTTTGAGAAGGCTTCATTTCACTTATTTCATTTGGATTGCAAGAAAAACTCAGATCCTGTGAATAATATATTCTTACTAAGTATATGAAAAATTAAAACTTTACCTAATGGGCAGTGGTGAAACTGGCCTTATGGTCTTGAATATGAAAAGTCATTCATCAAACCCAAGCAAATGCCAGTGTTCATGCACCTATTATTTTTCTATTGTGTCTTTAATTACTAGGAATCAAAGGTTACAAGGAGTTTGAGTCACTAAAAATTTAAAGAATACAAAAAAAAAATTATTTTAACTTTCATACCATACATACCTCTTCTATGTTGTCTGTGCTGTTTAAAAACGATTCAATGTTGAGTGCATTCTGATCATAGCTTTTACTAACATCTGAAATGTTTAAACAGTTTAAAATTTTATATTAATTTATGACAATAAAAAAGGAAGGTGTCACCTTTTCAAAGTCAAATTGGACCATTTACTTCAATTAATTAAATCACATACAAGCTCTTAACACCTTCAAACAAAAGCCTGAACTGTAATAGAACCTTCTAATATATCACTTTGATTATAATAATTTTGTAATCTAGCAACACAAAAACACATTTCCTTACTGATTGTGAAAGCCTACACATAAAACTTTCTTTATTTAGTGTACATATTAAATTAGTATGAAATACCATTCTTTTAATGTCCCTACTAACATAACTTGAACAATCAAACACTGAGCTTTGTTTTAACTAAATAATTTTAGGTCATTTAAAACTTTTATTAACTTTACCTTTAATTTCCATAATAGATGCATTGTTACTTATATTGGCTTGTATATCAGTCTCCTTCAATATTTGTATATTATTGTGCTTTTCCTCACAATCATTTCTTAATGTTAATTGCCATGTAGCTACATTACCATCGTCATGTTTAACAATATTGTCTAATTGTTCCGAGACAGGTCTACCCCTGGGTGTATCAGTGACTAGAGTGAATGCTTCAGGAGATTCATGAGCACTATGTATATTTGGTTTAGGAACAGTAACCTTGCCCTTTCTCCTAAGAATATTAGGTTTCTGGAATGTTTTCTTGCAAACATTTTTTTCTTTTGATGCAAACATAATTATATTGTCCTCTCTACATTGGAAAATAAACCTAAAAGTAATAATATTATTAAAGTAAATTAGAGGTTAACAAGGATTATAATCTAACATATACCCATTTATTTTGTTCTATGATGATTGACTAAACTTTGATGGTTTTTGTTGTAAAAATAACGAATCTAGAGGTCTACTTTAAATAGATTAGAAAATTGTTGATCACAGCACTCATGTTATAAAAAATAATTGAAGGAATAGGTACTCACAAGTCGATCAATTGAAATGGATCGGATTATTTATTGACGCGCAATTCATCCAAAATATGTGTTTCCATTTACTCCACCTTCAGCTTCGAAACACGTTAACTTAAAACTAGTGCAGCTACTTAAATAACATGTAGAACATTTTTATTAGATCAAAATCCATGGGTAAGTAGGAGCTTCCTGATAATCCAACTCAAGCAGCCGTACTCTTCCATCTCCATGGAGCTGTAATTGCATCACAACAATACAATATATACCCCTTAGATGCGCATTGTCTTTATGGTCCTGATCATAAATGATAATTGCAACAGTAACAGTTTCGAAGACTGAGTAAATAGTAATTTGGATTAAACTTCTTTGGATAAAATTAAATTGTAGATCAGTAATTTCATGGCGGCGTTACCTTACTTCGCAATGTCAAAACCAAATTGTCAAATCAAAAGAGCAAATGTCAAAATGAAGTCAAAGGATTCCCAAAAATACAATTTACTTGCCACTAACAATATTAATCTCAAATGATTCTAGAATACCTATGCGTTTATGTTTTCTAAAGATCGTCGTCGGCATGTGTGTAATTTCTTAAGACTTATTTCAATAAAGCTTTAGGCAAAGAGGACTCAAAGAAAGTAATAAGTACAAAATATTCTTTAAAAAAATCGCTTTAGATTTAAACAGTTTTGATATTAATACGCTTATTAAATAAGTGAATACAAACAAAATATTAACTTTTAAAGTTGTGCCTTTCTGTCTATAGATGTCGAAAGTGTGTAACTTTGACATATCATTGGTCAACTCAGGTCAACAGCACGTGTTGTTTACTTGTCAAAGTTTTGAGGAAAGATACAAAAACATTAATATAACCTAAAAAATTATTCTAAAAAAGTGTAATATAAGCTAAAGTTATAGTATTTTGCAACTTAGAACAGGCTATTAGAAGAATTCATTTTGTAATTTCCAGGAGATGGAATCTGGAGATGAAGAGTCAACGGTCAGGAAAAGGCGAAGAGAGAGTGAAGTGCAAGATGAAGAGTCAACGATCAGGAAGAGGCGAAGAGAGAGTGAAGTGCAAAATGAAAAGTCAACGGTCAAGAAGAGGCGAAATGAAAGCGAAGTTAAAGACGACCACATTGCACCGGTTGAAAAGCAATCACAAACAGAAATAAATACAGCTCCAGAAGACAGTATGCACTCAGACTCAAGTAGTGAATTTGAAAGACCAGTAAGACGAATGGAAAGACAAATGGAATTTGAGGATATACTTAAAGATTTTAAAGATGTAAATGAACCAGCTTGTATGGACAGAATACTCATGTATCTAGAAGAAATAAAAGATGAAGATTATTTTTTCATGGAGGTAACAAAACTTTAGCTTATGAATTATTTGTAGCAATCAGTAGAACCACCACAGTAGTTTAGATACTGACACCAAAATAATAATTTAAGCTCTGACACAGTGCACAGTAGCCGATAGCCAAATTGCAACACCACCCATGCTCCTTAAACTTTCAAAATTATATGTGTATACTTTGTTATGAATGACTTAAATTTTCATAAATCAATTGTAAACATTATAGATAATGAGGAAAGTGAGGTTGTGACACTTTAAATGCACCGACAATTAGGAAACAGATAATGTTCATGACATTGGTACTTTCTTTCAGTTATTAGTAGAAAAATTGAAAGGTGAAACAATAACATGGGAACAACCGTGGTATCAAAAGTCAAAATCTCTTTCAAGGCCATTAAAAAGTGAACAATATGAAAATGATGAAGAATCTTACAGAACAGACACAATTTGCAAAGCTGAAAGTGATTTAATAGAAAACAATTGGGAGGAATTCAAGAGGGTATGTTCAATTGGTATATGGTATCTTTTAAAAATGCTCAAGGCATGGTATTATGTAGCTCCTGCATATTTATTTTGTCACACTCACATTACATTCACTCTCTTCAGCGATATGAGGTTCCTGACAAGTTAATATGTTTGGCTCGCTGGAGGAATACAGATAAAAGTAGATTACCTAACACACCTGAAGAGCAAGCAAGACGCTATGTGGTTGCATTTTTGGCGCGTGGCTTAAAAAGAACAATATATCAAGTGTTCAGGCATATTGTAAGTAATTATGGTGGGGCTGTAAAAGGTGCCTACTCCTCGGATGAAGAAAAGATCATGAAGGTCTGTTTCACACACCATCCTAACCATGCAGTCACATTACTGTCAATGGTTTTGAGTAGGGAACCCAGGGGAATATACAAAAGATTGCAGCAAATGTTTAATGGTATGTATTATTTTTTATTGTGAAAATACAAACATTGACATTGACAATTGTTGTGAGCACACGCCAAGGTTGTAATCTAAAATACTATTGAGGGTACCATATCAGATACAAGGAAGCAATAGCACATGGGAAAATCGGATATCAGTATCTTTTTTCTATTTTTATTATTTAAATGCTCTCGGCACACAATAGTACAAGGGCAAACTTGATGCTGAAAGCAATTTCTTTCAGTCTATCTTAGGGTGACACAGATACAGGTCATTATTCTAAAGTATTTCATTTCATAAAATTTAACTTATAAGAAGCTAATAATATTTCCATGAAGCAGCAGATTAGTCTCATGTTGCTATTGTATCATTCATATTTTTCTTAATTCTTTTTTATTATTAATTTTTAGGAAAACCAGAAAAGAAGAGGTTAAGATGGTCATTGTCATTGGCAACTACATTTTTAAAGCTTTTATTAAAATACACAAATTTGCCTTTAGAAGAATTAAAGTATAGAAAAATTGATAAAGATGTTTGGTTGAAGCTAGAAAAGAAATTTGATCAACATTATATACACCTGCAGAACTTTTGGTATCAAAGTCTTCATGTCCAGGTTTTTGTAAAAGAAACAGTGAAAATAAATAAACTAAGAAAACATGTATTCAAAAGGTTTGTAAAATAAGTTAGGTATTCTTCACAAATGAACATATACCAATTTACTAGTTTGGCTGTGTTACATTGGTCGCAGTTATGTACCTATTCAGTTCAACAGACTCTAATAGAGCAGCCTATACAACATTGCAAAAACTGAAATTAAACAAACTATAGCATTATGAGGTTTAGAATTGAAATAAATTATCTATATCATTCAAATATGTGTTAATTTTTTTTTCAGCCTTCTTTCATCATCTTATCAAGTTTGGACAGACATTAGGTGGAAAGACCTTGTCAAGCAATTTCCAGATGGGATAACACATAGATTTTTATATAGTGTATGTCAAACAGTTGTTCGGAGTATTCCGGAATATTTGAAGAAACCTCTACCTCAAGTTGCAGAATATGCACTAGAAAAGCTCAAGAATCATACATATAGGAAACGTCGTTTGAAAACTTTAGAACTTGATGAAGATGGAAAATTAACAATTACTAGATACTAACAAAAAATAATATAAGTAGGTATTTATTCAATATTAAGATAATATATCCAATGTGATATCATTTTATCAATTGACTGCCTTCTAGTTATAGTGTAAGTTATTGTTGTGTGAATGTGCCAAGCATCCAATAAACTAGTGATTATGTTTTGTATTCGAAAATTAATTGAGGCGGGATCAAAATGACAACCCAATGCCAATATTATGGCATTATCCGTACCTACCTGCTTACTTTTGAACACAGTAAATCTTATATACCTACCTAGATTCAATAGATTACTCACTTTGATATAACGCCAGTAATGTATTGTGTGGTAGGTAGTAAAACTGTGAAAAAATTTTCAAAGAGTATCTAGTGTTCAAAATAAAGTCATTAGACTATTGTAATACCTATACCTAATAGTGTTAATTAAAAGATACACTTTTGAAGCACAAAATCATTTATTTTGTTACTATACTTACACACCCGTTATTTGTTAGTTCTCAGAAACTTTATAACTTCATATTAAGTTCCGTGTCAACATTTTATGTAGGTAGGCCATAAAAACTTTGAATTAAAGAATAAATTTAAAAGGAGCGTATTTCCCCGAAAATGATGGGGGAATGAGATGGTTTGAGTGATGTGTAAAAATAAAGGTTAACACGCCAACATTAATAAAATTGTTACTCTTCGTCTACCACACATCGTTCACGTTCGCATACCACAGAATTAGCTTTTACATAGATATGGACTTTTTTGCTATTGTTATTGTGGTTATATTTTTAAAGCCGTAACTTTACGACTATACATTTCTAAGCTAATCAAATCAAGCCCCTTTCGCAACATTCGGCAAACGAGACGACTGATTATCTGATGGTAAGCAATCAGCTCCGCCCGTGGAGACCTGCAACATAGAGGAGTAACAAGTACGTTGCCGACTTTTTGGGCATCAGGGTTTCCGAAATTTAGTGATTGGGGGAGGGGGAAAAGGATGGGCCTCCGGTAACCTCACTCACACCACACGGCGAAACACTTGGCGTTGACTGCACGGTTGGTGCGGTGGCTGGGCAACTGGCTGCCGTGCAACGTGTCGCGGGCTCGATTCCCGCACGGAGCAACAGTTTGTGTGATCCACAAATTGTTGTTCCGTGTCTGGGTGTCATGTGACATGTGTATGTGAAATAGTATTTTTGTAACCGCACTCACGACACAGGAGAAAATCATAAGGCGGGAAAACGTTTTTTTTAATAAGAACTGTGTTTTTGCTTCACGCCAGTATTCTGTGACACTGACCATATGTTTTCCAGGCTCCAAGATTCCAAGATGTTATAAGTAAATATTTATATTACAACTAGCTTCTGCCACCGACTTCGTCCGCGTGGAATAGTGATTTCTGGCAGATAATTGGTTTTACCCACATAGTTCCTGATCTCGTGGGATTTTCAGGAAGTTCTTCATTTGCATTCCCGGGATAAAAACTATCCTATGTCCTTTCCCGATTTTCAAACTACCCCTGTACTAAATGTAATCCAAATCAGTTCAGTAGTTTAGGCGTGAAGGGGAGATAGACAGAGTTGATTGAAATAAAATAAACCAGGATTTTTAGGAAATCTTACAGCAATACAATAAAACAACTCAAAACCCGATTAATAATTGATTTTTAGCGCGCCACGAAACATGTATAAGAAGTTACTGGCAATCTTATTCTATTACTTATAATAAATCTGTAGTAGTTAACCGTCCAAGATAGACATATACTGTTGTGAGCTATTTTGTAGATAATGTTATTTAGAATATTTCCGTCATACATAATTTCTATGTAACTTTAACCATTAAGGCTACACACGCGACGGAAACTTAAAAAAGGGAGTGACTCCTCCCGTTTTCCCAACATTTCCCTTCACTGCTGTGCTTCTATTATTATTTTGTAGCGTGATGAAAAGTATCCTATAACCTGTCCAGGAGTATAAAAAATCATTGTACCAAGTTTTGTTAAAATCCGTCTAGTAGTTTTTGTTTCTATAATAAGGAATAACCTACAGACAGATAGACAGACAAAAATTTTACTGATTGCATTTTTGGCATCATTTATCGACCACTTACCAACCCCTGGTAGTTATTTTGAAAATATGTTTAATGTACAGAATTAACCTCTGTACAGATTTATTATAAGTATAGATAAGCACTTAGGTATTTTGGTAATTTCGTGTGACTTAATTTAAGTTACCTATAACAATTTATTAAAGTACCCACATTTACTTATGTCGGTTTTCGAGCTAAGAAATGTTACCTATAGACCTACCTTAGTCAATTTCTCATTTGTCAACTACCATTCATATTGTTTTTGAAGAGTAAAGTATGGAGGTAGGTCGTTGTAGCTAATTAACCATATACCCTTGTTCCTATAATAATACTTATTTATCGAACAATGTAACTTGACTGTTGTAAAGTGCGTTATTTGATATTCATATCTTGATTGTCTCTTTCGCTCATCGTATAGATTAAATTCTACTCCTACTTCGGAGTAGGTACCTACCTATATTGCACGCCTGCTATTTGCAGATACCGCTCACTCACCACTCACCCTTACCCACATAGTACATTTTTTATATACTGTGAGCCCTTACCTAACTTCACTCTTAACAGTGCAGACAGGTAGACCGACGCGCGACATATAGTGACTGGTTTATTAGTGGTGGTTTATGTTTTGAACACAGAAGTGTCCTCAGTTAAACTTATTTGACAATATTGACTGAGCAATAATTAGCTGAAAAATTAAGAGTAGGAACGTTAAAAGGAGAAACAAGATGATAAGAAACATTGTGCCGCAAAGGAAAATTGAAGATATTTTGGATAGTGATGATGAATTACCAAGTGAGTTTGTCGCAAAGTGGATCTTTTTTGTGGCATAGCATTACATTTCTATTAGTTTTTTTCTAATGCCAATTGATGGTAGGTACCTATCTACTCATTATTCTAAATACTAATTTTATATCGTCCCTTGGCGATTTTCCCTCTCAAATCTTGATAATTTGGCCAAAATATTATTTTTTTGCGGTTTTCTCGCAGGTAACATTAAATTCTGCTTTGAACTTAATTTTCTTATAGGTAGGTAGCTTACAAATCTTCATTTTCCATTTAAGTTGTTGTTTATGCGCTATTGGTACGACTAGTAGGTAATAAAAATGTATCTGTTTTACTTTCTTACTTTCCACCCTGGGTGAAGCGAGAGTCTGGAGTGTCGAACTCATACTGACTAAAAACCACCCCCTTCCTTTTTCGCCACCCGCGAACTCTGCTTATTGAGCATATTACTTAATATGTGGTGGTCTAATGGCTCATCAAGGCCGTACGCTCGGGTTGGTTTTGGACGGTTGATTCTGGTTAAGCAGCGAGCTGCCCTTGCTCGCCGCTCCGCTCTGTAGCTTCGAGCTGGAGTAAGGCCAGGAACGAGAGTTCTCCACCGTCGATCACTTCCCTGAGGACATGACATGTTTAGCCTAGGCATGACACACCGCCACCGTAAGCTTCACCGTGTCCTCGAGGTGATCCTCACAGTGACGACAGTTTCCTCCCCCTGAATCTGGAACAGGTCCTACTACCTCTCTTTCGTTTCCGGAAAGGATCTGCGTCAGGCAGAAGGCGAGGACGCCATAGCGTCTCTCTAACCTTTTTTTAGAGGGAAGACCTCTCTATCTGTAGGTACCTACTTACCAGCCCCGAAAAATCTGCTACCTACCCGTAACTTTACAAGTAATAACTAAAATACCTACTTATAATAAAAATTACTTAAGTACCTTATGTTGCCTATGTGTTTAACATTGTTCTAGTTTTATTATTGTCAGATTTTATTTTGGGTTCCTCTTCTTGGGTTTTTAGCTGCCTAAATATTTAAAACATATTAAACAGCTGTCGCACCCTTAACAAATCACAATATCAACATAAGATTCCCATTTTTACCATTTGAGTAAGACGTAAAAAATAAGTTTCAAAGCATAAGTAATAGGTAAAGTAGATACTCTTTTATTATAATAATATCTAGCATTGAAAAAAGCAAAACTCGATGGAAATATTGTTTTTCTGACTGAATTATTAAGTTCATATAAAAAAATGACGGGTTTTCACTAACGTTCGTGAGTATCATCTATTTGCATTAGGTATCAAAAACCCAAAGGAACATAATATGGATCCTCCAAAAACGTAGGTAGGTGTTGACCACTGTGTGTCGTTATTCAACAACTTCGCTTGTTAAACATGACGGTGGTGAGGGTTCGTATCCTAGCAATTAGCAATGTGCTTTGTTTTAAAATTATGTTTCTAAGTTTATTGAGACATCACAATCACTGATATCAAATGTTAAAAAAACTTAGTGATGGCGAAAAACTTTTTCGACGCTTTTTTAATAAAATTACAGGAAGTTATCGCCAATTTGCCTCGATCAAGCGATCGGTGGTCCTTCCTAACCCGAATGAGCAGTAACATTTTCCCAGCAATAAATCAAGTCCTGTGACAGGCTACCGCTGATATAATAATATTTCAAATGCTAATATTTCATGATTATTTTCAGCCGAATATATAGACCTACCGTGCATGCCAGCCTATAAAAACGACAGACGATTTATCGAGCAACATCAGCTGAAACAAAAACAAGAAGAAATAGAAATGGTGATTGCAAAAGGAGTGTTGAACAAAAAAGACATGTTCTGTTTGAAATGTCTTGAGCCCACTGAAAACCATACAACACTGATGTGGTTTTTTAAATATCTGATGTTAAAAGACTTGCAATCTCGCTATACATTTCTTACCACATGTTTAGTGCCAGACTATAAAAATTACTTACTGAGTGAAAATTATAAATACAAAGAAGAAATAAGTGACAAACTGTTAGCATTTAGACTAGAGTGTGCAGATAGAAAGCCCACAAGGGCATGACATAAATAATTTTCTGTACTCAAAATCATTATTTAGTCAGCTATAAATGATAACGCAATTATACTTAAAAAAAATAACTCTGGCCAACAGTAGCAGTTATACTCTTAGAATAATATTATTCTAAGGTTACGCTCATTCATTGTTTATCATCTATAGCTGAGCTGATGCTCATAAGGTTGAATATTATCAGTATGAATATAATTTAAATGAATAAAGTGATTGTATGAGACATATTTTTTTATTAGTTTGATCTCATTGCAGTTTTGCTCAATGTTTTAATTTTATGATTCAAAAAATTTGTGACAAATTAAAAATAATAAGCAAATTTGTTATAACAATTTATTTATAACCCTCTTAAATTAATTAATTCCTTACATTAGTATAACTCTTTCTGCTCAACTATATAAACAATAAAAAAAGGAATGATTGCACATCACTGTTTTAAGCTGTCAAGAAAACCTTTAGAACATCTTAGCGATTGCTGGTAGCACTTTTCAAATCCTGTTGCATCACTGTCCTGAAATAAGACATTATCATTTCATAAATGACTTTATTATTTTTGTTATATTATATTACTTAAAAATAATTTAGTGAACATACATAGTATGGATCCCTTATAATTCTATCACCCTGAGGATCAAAGTCTCCAAAGAGAAGAAGTTTAGCTTTGCTTCCTTTAGGAGCTCTTTTGTTAAGGTCTCTCATGTTTGCTTCATCCATACCAAATATGTAATCATAATGATTAAAATCTTCTGGTACAATCTGAAAAGAAAAAATAATTTATAGTAAAGATACTGAAATTGCTCTTATAGAACTACTCTTTTGAATTTTTAGATAATTTACCTGTCTGGCATGATTGTTATAAGGAACGTTATGCTTTTTCATAGTATCCAATGCTCGCCAGTCTGGTGGATTACCTACATGCCATCCTCCGATGGCTGCACTGTCAATTTCCCATTGATCACCTAAATTCAGGTCATTTACGGTTTTTTGGAATACACCTTCTGCTATAGGAGAGCGACAAATGTTTCCTAAAAAACAAAAATGTTACTGAAGTTATTGATAAGTATGAGTGGTTAAAGTTCTGTTACATGTTTAATAGATAGTTCATAAAATGTCGTTTATGGCGTTTGATGTCTGTGTTCATATTTATAAATCTTTGGGATCACGTTAGCAGTTAATAAAGCAAATAGATATATGTTAAATACGTATTGGTTACCGAGGCAAATAAACAACGCCTTTTTCTTCTCTTGAGCCATCCTGCGTCTATAATGAATACCTCTGAATCTTATAATAAAATTGAAGCTATTCTTCACTCTTCTCTTTTTAATATTTCATTTAGGTAAAAAATACACAATCAATATCAATCTACTAAAATAATAAATAAATAGAAGTGGCAAGTGGCAAGCAATGTAAATATGAATGTGAATGTGAGACTTGCGAAGTTGCGATCATTTACCATTGACATGACATAAGAATATATTTTCTATCTCAATGTCATTTACGAGAGCGAGAAGTGACAATTGTTTATGACACTTTGACAATAGTGACGGTTTATTTATTTTTTTGGAGTTTATGGCCTGGATACAAGTTTTTTAAGCCAAGTCTTTTAATTTTCTCGTAGTGACGGGACAATTGACATCGTAAGACTGCCGGTGCCACGTGAGAAGTAATAATATAATTAATTTTATGACGATTTCCTATAATTAACCTATAATAAAATAATTTATTTTATATGTACAATTTACATTTTTGTATAATATTAGCTTGTAATTAGAAGGACAGTGGCTATACATAATATTCAGCTTTACTTTTATTTGTTTTTACTCAATGCGTCACAACCAACTCTTGAATATTATAATCAAGCCACACGGTTTAGAGTTTAGTACATAGATAGTTCTTTGATCAGTACAAATCATTGAGATAGAAAATATATTTCCTATGTCAATGGTACAAATACAAATACAACAAGGTAGGTAATGGGTAAATGTACAGATTGAATTTGTATTAATATTTTTTCAATAAACATTTCTAATTACTGTCCTCCTATCCTTGTAATGGGTAAATGTTACTCTATCTGACTGACAGCAAACAACGACTGTCACTGTCGGGCTGTCGCTTACTGATGGGCCGAGTCGTCTTTTTGATAACTCGAGTAACTCGAGTTGACCTGATAACCAACTCGGGCTGCAACTCGAGTTGACTCGACCCGATCTGCCATAAGATACGTCGCGTTGTCCGGGTTGTCCGTTCGAGTCAGTAAACGCTCGACTCGGTGCATCGTTCTGCGGGTTGCTAGTTTGCTTGTCGAGCCCGACGGGCTGTGTGGGGTCGAGTCCATGCTAATGATAGTCAAATAAAATAAGTTTGTCAGACTTTAATGTTATTGAAAGTTGTAAGATTGGGCCAACAGCTTCACTATATTGTATAATGTGTTTTTTTTAGGTGGTTCACTAAGGTACTCGTATTTCCACTAAATTTGTATTGACTAGAACACAAATTGCATTGTACTTTAGTATTATTGTCTATTTTCGAAAAAAACTCCCACGCCACACTTTTCCTGTTTCCTGGAGCCATTCTAAAGTTATTAATCAGACAAACAAAACTTAATAAACTAATAATACCGCAACAAAACAATAAATTACGGACTAAGTAGTAATAACAAAAACGTAAACAAAACAAATATCTAATCTTTTGTGTTAAAACTTTGTCATTTGTTCGCCGAAGACGAGAACTATCTCTTTCACTCGCGGCTCGCGGCTCCGACGACGCGACTACGTTTCGTTGTTCGTGCTGACTCGGGCTCGCTCGGTGTCGTTCGGGCCTAGCGAATCGCGGGCTAGGCGGCGAGCGGGCGGCGGCGTCGAGTCGAGCCGAGCGGCGCGCGGCGGGCTGGCAACCTACCCGCCCCGCTCGCCACCGCGCGCGCTCTTCGGTTCAACCCGAGTTGCAGAAATATTAACTCGGGCTGACTCGCTCACGGTCTGACTCGAGTTGCCCGAGTTAGATAACTCGAGTTGCCCATCACTACTGTCGCTAATCTTATCGGCAATCTTACCCTAAATATTATTATTACACTCTGTTTTTTATCAGTGACCACTGTCTAGTGTTGTGGTTGTAGTAATGTTCACAGAGTACATTTTAGCAATAGAAAGTCGTGTTATCGTTTTACGCAAATAGCATGTAAATAAACCTTTGTATGTAGGTACAACTCCAATAAAACAAATCGATTCCAATTCTTTGCCTTGAAAGATAACGATGTTATGCATAGGGTCGGTAATTAGTTTAATCTGCTAGATATCCCTGTGCGAGCCTACCGTCTTCTAGATAATATCTTAAGTGGAGACGAATAATCGCAGAAATTATGAAGAATCAATTCGTAACACTCAACAACATACAAACTCACCTAATAACTTATGGTGATCCCTTCAATTGTAATGGAAAAGATGTTATTATATGTATCACTGGAAACCCTGGTATACCTGATTTTTATATAGAATTTGGTGATGAATTACATAAATCAACTGGGCTGCCCTTGTGCATCATTGGTAAGTCAATACTACAATATTAATGGACTGACTGGAATATGACTTTTGAATCTTTGTCTTCTTAGTTTTATAAACACAATATTATTTACTAAATTTGAGAAAGAATTTAATGTAAACTTATGAAAATTTCAGGCCATGCCGGTCATGATGTAGTTCCAGATGAAGCATCTTCTGTTCTGAAAGGTCAAGAGCACCTATTTCATCTTGATGGTCAAATAAAACATAAGCTTGAACTTATCAATAATTATGTAGATAAACAAAGCAAATTACACTTAATTGGTCATTCAATTGGAAGCTGGTTAATTCTAGAAATGCTTAGAGATAATGAAAATTTAGCCACAAGGCTTAAATCCGTTAATCTTTTATTCCCAACATTGCAAAAAATGGCTGAAACCAGAAATGGAAAATTTTTAAATGGCTTTCTTAGAAAACTGCATAATTTTGTATTACTTCTGTTTGTTTTGGTTCACTTACTTCCTAGTGTTATTGTAAAATTTTTAGTAGCTATCTACTTAAAAGTATATGCATTGCCTACACACTATTCAGAATATATTTTCAAGTTTTTAAATCCAAATGTTGGGGAAAAAGTATTATTTTTAGCTTATGATGAAATGGACAAAGTAAGAAATTTGAACTTAGAAGCAATTGACAAAATAAAACATTTTACTAATGTAATTTATAGTAAAACGGATAATTGGGCTCCAATCCCATATATGGAAGATCTATATAAATATCAACCAGAACTTACAATGAAAGAAGTAGACATTGACCATGCATTTGTTCTGAAATCATCAGAAAGGACTGCAGAAATGGTGATGCAATTTATAAAGACAAAACTGTGATTTCTGTATAACTAGACCATTGATATAGTTGTAGTAGCATCAATTATAAGTACTTTATTAGTTTAATAAGTTTTGAAATGCAAAATGTATGATATTATCAGATAAAATTTAGAATTCTATAACAGTATACAATAAACATGGATACTTATCCTGTTTCACAGTACCACACGGCTCTCGCGGGTTCGATTCCCCATAGTTCTATGGGGAATCGAACCATCAAAACATAGTGTGATTCAAAAGGGTTTGGGTGGCTTGTGTTATTGTGTATGTGGTTTTGTTTGTATGTGGTTTTGTTTGTATGTAAACGCCCCCATTAAGCAGGAGAAAATACTCAAGGGGGGATTTTTTTAAATAAAAGTAGGTATTTACAAAAGATTCACATATAAAATATAAACAGTAAAAAATATAATTATGGGTTTTTTCTTAACTATTAATTATCTAAATCATTCATGTTTCTTCTACCATTTGCTAAGTTCTTTAAATATCAGTTTCTAATTAGGCAAATGCAATACTTTTATGTAGGTATATGTCAAAAACGTTAAATACTTTTTTATGCATTTTGTATGGAATCGCAACCTATGACGTCATGTTTTTACGTCAAACAAGATACTGGAAAAGATCTAAAATCAATGAATGAAAATATGACTATATTTTAATAATTCGTTGTGAGTCAAAATAATTTGTTTTTGATTCATGAAATTACCCAATTATTTTAATCTAGCGATAATCAGAAATTGTAAGTGGTGTTGTTGAAAAGTTTTTAGTTGTAAGTGTTGGTGATATTTAGCCGAGTTATTTATTTTTTAATTGTAATGGGTATAATAAGTATATTATTCTCACATAAAATCTAATCATTCCAAAAAATTGTTTAGTTTTTAGTTTTGTGATATAAAACAACCTGTTAAAAATACAATTAAATGAACTAACTACCTCCTTTTTGAGTTTGTATTTTCGCCATTAAAAATACTATTAGGAAATAAAATTGTATTTTAGTCTTTTTAAAGAAAATACGAAAAGCGTTTACGCGTTCCAAAAACCTTTTAAGACCAAAAAGGAACGACACAAGTCGAAGTTTTGTTACATTACATATTTAAATAAAACTAAAAACGTTTTTTAGAAAAAATAACACAATATAAAAAATAAGGGTTAGGTTTTTGTTTCGTCACATCGTCAAATTCAGCCGGGATTCCAGGTGCAAGCGCAATAATATACCGCGAGCCTGGCCCGCAGAAAGAACAGGGTACTTTTTAGTCAGTAAAAATGTGGGACAATTACTATGCTTCGGCACGAATCTGCGGACTCGATCGAAGTAGGTACGTACCACGGCCTCACAGAAAACTGGAGTGAGTTCTCTTCCCTCGATCCCTCTCCAATCTCTTTGTCTCCAAAACTCTAATGCACAACTTGCAACTCATAAATCTTTTAGTGGGCGGAGCCGATTTCTTACCATCAGGGAATATTTCGTCGTTCGAACGAAAAAGTATCTCTTTAAGACTTTGGAACACATAACGTTACTGCTCAGTAAACTTGCTAGTCTTGTACCAAACTTTTAAACAATTAATGTGTACTACATTATCCTAAATAATAGACAATAATTTTAGATATGTGCAATTTAATTAGTTTATTAAAAAGTAATTTACCTCTTATTTTACAATTTAGAGATAACATTTATTAATTATAATATAGTATAGCTGTCGAGACCAAATAAACAACTGTATTGTCGGTAAATTATTAAAATATGTGGTTGTGTTTTGCAATGTTTGCTGTTGATCACTTCTCCAACCTGCAACGTACAGGCGTGAAAAAATGGTCAATGGCATACATCAGCATTAGCGTGACCACAAACATTTCATATTATTTGGTAAAGTACATCGTTAAAATCATTAGACATAGAATCTCCGTCAGTCTGGCATTATCTAGACATAGTTTCATTTCGTAGATACATAGAAGTTACCTGCTAGAGTGGCACCGGACAATTATACCGACAAATAAATGGAGTAAGTACTGATAGGTAGGTAGGTAGGTAGTTTGATAACCTAAATAAGGGTGAACGCAGCTATGATGTAACAAAAACCGTGAATCTACATTTGGGTCCCTGATGATTAATCTTCCCATAGCTACTTACATCATTCTAAAATGTATATTTTTAGAATGTTATAAGTTTTTGTTTTTTTTTTTACTACCTACAATACATTTACATGATTATCTAAATCTATACATGTGATTTAACAGATTTCGTACAATTGGAATAACATTCCAGATTGAATTAACTGCATTCACTCAGTGCATTCATGGAAATTTATCAGGCTTATCAAATGTATATTGCATGCTTGATAAATTCTAAGTAGGTATTACAATTATTAATATCTCCGACGATGTTTATTTGACCCAAGACTTCCAATGTCAATCGCAGAAACGCTAATACTAGTTACCTATATAATGGCTAACCGATATTTAAATGTAAAAATATACATATATACTTTTATAATATTTTGGCATTACAAATACATATTACAATATTAGAAACAAAAGAAAATTAGGTAATAACTACATATCAGATCACAATTACTTGTTTGGTCACAATGTCCCTTGAAAGGTAAAACCTATTATCTGACATCTGCACTTCAAGTATAGGAGTAGATGTGTAAATCTAAGTGAGATTAGTTTGAATTGAGTTATCCATCCTTACTTATTTGCATATGCCTCTTTTAGCTGATTTACGTAGATATAAGTCGGTAAATCCAGCTCAAACTATGTCTACAGATTTTAAGTACAGATTTTTTACATTAAAACAAATACTTAGAGAAATAAGGATATATAAAATAACTAGGTAAAATAGTAATATTTATGTCGATATGATTTTGACAGGGTAAAAATGTTGGCAGGTATTGCTGCCTGCCGAATTTTGTATTATTTTTCGATATTAAGAATAATTAATAGTTTGAAATGATCACAGTTCTTACAGTTCACAAAATCATCAATTATTATTTTATAATGTGAGCGATTCAAGGCTGCAAATCATTCCACAAAAGATCTTCAGCAGCAGCAGATTATAGGCTTACCAGAGAACGAGAAAGTTTCGATACTTTAGAAAAAGAAAAGGACTTCGATGGTCTTTCATATATTATAATTTTAATTACAATTCCAACGTTATTTACGCTCGCTCGCTCTGTAACCCATAAGTTTCAATGAATAATGGTTTTTAAACAGATTTTTGAATCAAAACGATTTATTTCATAATAGTTAAATATATTTTAATTAAAAACGTACTCATATCACTTATACATACAATAAATTCATCCAATCCATTCAACAAGTACGCATCAATTAAAATCTACGATTAAAATGGTACTAAATAAAAATAATAATATAATTATATAAAAAAAACAGTAAGTATAAACAAAGTGAGAAGATGATGCCCACATTATAAAATATTTATTGCATAGACTTCAAAATTTTGGTGAGAAACAAAAATGGCATGCTTACATCATTACAGCCCACTTTTTTACATTGTCTTATAATTAAAAACAGATAATAGTAGATGTTTTCCACAAGCTGTCCTCCGCTTGGCCTGTATTATAAGACCGTCGAAGTACCTACTGTTCTAACAATTAATTCTTTCATATAGAGATTGATTTCATTGACGTCAGTGCGCTTCAAATCATAAAGAGACCAATCCGTTCAAGTACGCCAATGAGAATGAATAGCTATAAATGGATGACGAATTATTATTGAAGACGTATCATTGAGACTTGCATCAATATGACTGTACATTTTTAATACCGCATGATGGAACCCTATTACTCACTAAACTTATAATTTAAACCGTATCTCCGCGTGTCACAAGACTCAGTCTTAGCAACGATTTATAGAAATTAAAAAGTGAAAAAGTTATAAACCGTAACGACATCAATAGAACTAAACATTACAATACATAAAGTGTTGGAGAATGTCTGTAAATAATTCAGGCCTAGGCACAACCAGTCCCTCAAAAAGTCAACAGAATTGAAGCCTTCAGCTGTCTCTAGTTAAGTGATTGGTTGTAAAGTATTTTGGTCAACCAATCACAAATAATACTTACTTAAAATAGATTCAAAAAACGAAAATCAGGGATACCTAACGTTAACGAGGCGTTATACAATTACATAGTTTCAAATAAAAATTTCAATAGGTAGATGCAATTAAGGAAGGTACCCAGTCAATTTTATAAAACCGTTAAATAAATCGTTTTCTTAAACTAATACCTATTACTGAGGAGCATACATTTCTTTTTTCGTTGACACATACCGTGTTCCGACACAACATTCAGTCACAAAACAAATTAAAAACTTCCAGATTAAAACATTGATCAGCTCATAATGACATATTTTTTTGTTATTTTTTTTTTGTGTTACTTTTGATTGTACAGTGCTTGATAATATTCTGGTATTCAAATATGAAACAGCAGATTTAAAAATAAAAATAATTTGTTTGTGGAATGTATGACAGAAACTGACCATGCCTAATAAATTGGTTTAATTACAGATCAGATTTTGACATTACAACTATTTATATGTTTACCTCATACCTAAAAATATTTACATTTTATGGAAGATGCATGGATAGGTTTATCATGTAAGAGAAGTACTATATGGTATTGTGCGTTAACATTTTGGTGTTCAATACAAAATAATGTTAGGTATAGGAACTGGATCAATTAAGTATCGGAAGCTATTATTATCGGATCAAAAATTGAATAACAAAATCATAATGTTTTATACTTTCAAATGATACAGAATTTCTAATTACGCACAACCTCCCGAAGTAAAAGATAATTATACAATATTCATGAAAAACATTCATATTTATCATAACACGAGCATACTTTTATATTTATCAAATATTAATATACAGTACAATAATAAATTTTGAAATCTTATTTACTAAAGGGATACAAAATTCGCACTAATAATACTCATACACCAAAAAGGGACAACACACATCGTACACAAAACGATTCCTCCCAGACGCCAGGCGTGACGCGGCGGCGCAGGCAGGATCCTCGTGTCGCACTATCGTCGTCCATCACTTCAGCAGGTGGTCTCCAAAAGCGGATCAGCGAGCTTTTTAACTCGATCTCCGTCGACGGAAGTGCATATCATCTTCTGCGAGGCAGACTTGTAAAGCCGTCGCGGCCGTTCTTCGTCGTCGGATAGAGTGCGCGGAGGCGCTCGCGGGCGCAGGCGAGCTGGCGAGGGCCGCGGCGAGCGACCATCGCACGTGCACTGCGCGCCCAGAGAGCGCGCCGCGCGCGCGTGACGCGCCCAGCCTGTGCGCCAGCACTCGCAGCTCTCGTTGCCGCAAGTCTCGCACACCACAGGCGATCGACGCTCGAGCTTGCCTCGTTTGAAAGTAGGCACCTCGCGTTTTTGCTCTGAGTCCGATACTGCTCGAGGTACATCTTCTCGTGATTTGGGTAAATCATTATTTTTGTCAGGACGCAGAGTAGGATTCCTTACCCAAGGATCGAGCGCACCGCGACCTGCAGCCCGGCTACGATTACCGGATGCGTTCAAATCGACGTCACTCATTTTACGCCATGGATTTCCCAGGACGGAGACGGCGTCGCTGCCAGATCGATCACGACTGCGTAAGCGTGTCTCTGTGCCGTCGTCGAGTGCAAGCGACGACGCATCGGGGGACGAGCGTTCGCTGCGCACGATGCGCGGCAGCAACACAGCCGGCGCAGTGGCGGGCGTGGCCGGCACGATGGCTGGGGACTGCGGCGCGTGCGACGGGGAGGGCGCGGGAGAGGCCCGCGGACGCTCCGAATGGGACCGAGCTCGCGGCGTGTGAGTTCGACTGGCCGGAGTCACATCGCTAAGAGATCGTAAGTGAATGCGCCTTCGCACACAAGTGGGCGAGTCTGTGTCTGTCACGTTA